GTTGGACCACAAACTTAAATGTCTTATATCCCACCTGGGTGATGGTGCACTGTTTTGTATATTTATATCAAACACAGCAGCATGCTTGAAAAATAGCAATGGTAAAATTTTTACCAATATAGACATGTTATACACCCTTAGAAAGTTTAGATTCTCCAAAATTCAAATGTCAAGATAATTTTATGGAAACCGTGAGCGCCAATGCATCATTTATAAAGATATATTAAATAAAAAATTCTAAAATAAAGCTCAGACTTCTTACCTTTGAAGCGTTCCAGATCCAATCCAATCTTAGATTTTTTATATTCCATTTGTCCGTAAGAGTCCACAGATTAAAAGTAATCCAGCATATTCGTAATAAGACCATTCCATAATGAGGAAATCTCCATATAAAATCTGTTTTTAACCATCATTAACGTGCTAATTACCATGGCTTAAGCCTTACACAAATATATCCAGTCATTGTTGGGTGTGCTTGTTTTCCTCACCTTCCAGCCTAAAAAGCAAAAAAATTTTTAGATTTGATGCCGAGACAGCCCTCTGAGAATCAAAGTGCTTGGCTCAGCTGCCTTCTGTTCCGCATGACTCCCCTCATATTACTCCCCATAAAGTCTGTCTGCTATTAGGCTCTCTAGCCAATGATATTCAGTGATGGGAGTAACGGCGTTCAAAGTAACGGCGCTACTAACGCCGCTACCTTTTTTAGTAACGAGTAATCAAAATTATTACTCTTACTGTAACTATGACGCAGTTAGAATTGCCGACACCCCGTTACTGCACGTTACTCAGGTCGTACAATTAACCTTTTTTCATGATAGGACTCGTGCGCGGATCATGAGAGAGGGGAGGATGGAGAGTGAGGAGGACTCCAGTGGCAAAACAGCACTTTACAGATGGAAATACTGGTGTTATGTCGAGCTGCGTTTCCCCATCAGATACGGTTTCCCCTGCATCTCCGCACAGCGCGGCGGCACGATTCACCGCGCAAGCGACAGGAAAACGCGCATGCTCGCTAAAGGCGTGTAACAGCCGTCCTGTGCTCGCACCACAGGGGAACTACAGAGAGCGTGAACGATCATTAGCCTATATGGAGAAAGAGAGAAATATGGATGGATGGATGGATGGATGGATGGATGGATGGATGGATGGATGGATGGATGGATGGATGGATGGATGGATGGATGGATGGATGGATGGATGGATGGATGGATGGATGGATGGATGGATGGATGGATGGATATAGCTACATGTTGCAGTATCTATAACAACCCAAACACAGGATTTCAGAATTAGACATCCCCAGTTATTAATTTCATACACTTGCAAAAGTAACACAATAGTTACTTTTACTTCTAACTAGTTACTTTTATTGTGGAGTAACTCAGTTACTAACTCAGTTACTTTTTGGGAGAAGTAACTAGTAACTATAACTAATTACTTTTTCAAAGTAACGTGCCCAACACTGATGATATTACCTTTCAATAAATGCTAAGCATGGCTAATTTGAATAGTGCAGCCCAGATATATAGCCTTGCATAAAGGGCACAGAGCCACATTTGATCCTGGTTCATTGCACACTGTTAGAAAATTAGATGGAAAGTTAGAAAAAAAAAAGAAAATTAGCTTCAAAATTTTTTTGTGGCCATCAAAATGCTCCTGTGTGATTTTTTTGAGTAAAATAGTTGTGTAAAAGCAAAAAGCCCAATTTGGAATAATTAGGCACATTTGGAGATGTTTAGAGACGCTGATGACTCCAGAAGATTAAAGTCCCAAATCTCTTGAATGGTTATACCATGATGTCATTGAAGACCATAATTAGGGCAGTCTCTGTATTGTGGTAGGAATGGAAACCTGTCCAAAAGATATCAAAGCAGCTAGTCATTAAGACATTTAACTGTTTAAACACAACTTTTCAATAATTTCACTGGCGAAGGGGAGGTTCAACATATTCTCATTATGAGTGCGTATGAAATCGTACAAAAGTTATGCACACTATTTCGTACGTTTCTGGACGTTTTTCCTCAAAAAAACCAAATCAGTGCGCATGCGTTGGCAGACAGAAAAAAAGCAGATCCGCGGATGGACGTAAAAATGGGAAAAACAGTGCAATTATCACTTATTCATGTCTCTAACTACGTTGCTTGCTGTTTTATATCTTAGGGTTAGGTGTAGGGTCAGGGTTAGGGCTAATTGTAATTTATATTCTATATTTGTGAATGGTCATATGCGCATGCGCATCTGACGAAAAAAACTTCCAAAACAGACGAAATTACGGTGCATAACTTTTCATACAATTTCACACGCACTCATACTGAGAATAGGTTGGGAGGTTTGAGATGGGCCTGTAGTTCTACAGCGGGCTTGTTGTTTTTAAGGCCTGGGGGAAAACACCCCACATAAAGGATGTGTTTATGATTTGAATCAAATCGGACTCTAAAACAGGTAAAAACCCTCTTAATAAAACCTGCCATTATTTGCTAAGTTTAAAGTTATGATGTATTTTTTATTTTTTTATTCTCCTTCTCATGTATTGAACCCTTCTAATGAAGATCTGTCATTTTTGAGAGATGTAATTGTTTCATATTTTCCTAACAGAATTCGTTGCTCCCAGACTGCAGGTTTGCTGATGGTTCTTGGAGATCTGAACACCAACCAACTCCCTGGTCACCAACTCCAAGAGTCACCCTGTCTGCTTTAACGACTAGGCAATTAGAATTTTCAGTTTTAGTAAATCTTATCAACTATCAACTTGACCTCTTTACTCAAGTAAAAGAGAAAAAGTATGTGCTCCAAAAACTACTAAAAGTATAAAAGTATAAAGTACCCTTTAAAAAAACAGCAGGTGCCACTATATGAATTAAAAGCTCAATTTTTCGACAATTTCAAAAATTTATTTGAGATAGGGCCAAGGATGAGGGAGGTCTGGTTGGTCTCCATCTCCATCTCCCGATGTGCTCTCGCCTGTGTCAGACTTTTCAGATATTTCAACATCTTTTTCTGAATCCGACATTGTAACATGGCATAGACAATTTACATTTTCAGTTTGAAGAACACCTGCTTCAAACTGCACAAATTTGACAAATAGGTAAGCAATGAGTGTTTGCGTTATATGACTCATCCAACTACACTAGTTTTCATTAGATGTGGACGGAGCCAATGATCTGCATTGGATGACGCACATGATGTGAAATAAATATTTATAAACATTCAACCGAAGCCAAGAGTAACAAGTAACCTTTGTTTGTGTGAAAATGTAATGAATAGAAATCAGAAGTAGGATGAAAAATGTGTAATGGAGTAAAGTATAGATCAGTGGCGGCTGGTGAAAAATATTTTTGGTGGGGCTGATATAGCCTAGTGTATGTCTCCAACTAATCCGGAATAAGAATTCAAATAAACAATTGGACAATACATACAATTTAACAGTAATGATTTAATTTACTATATAATAACAGTAACAGTGATGATTTGGGTCACTGTGACGGGGTTCTTTGGCCTCCAAGAATCCAGTCTCAGTCGGGTGACCGGTGTTGGTGATTTATTGAGCTCAAAAACTCAAAACAGGGTGCAAAAGAAACTAAACATGTACAAGATACTCTGGGCCTCAGCCTCCCTCCAGTTACCAGCAATGTAACAAAGAAACAGAAAACAAAAATTGCCGCTTTTCTTCCCACAGCCCTCATTAAATAGTTTAAGCCCCTACAGGCTCTCTTATTTCTGATTTCTTCTCATTAATCAGTTTTGTCCATATATTACCTCCACAAACAATTGATGTACAAAAACAAATAATTTTTACAACTTAATTCTTTTACACAGATTCATTGACTTATTCAATTACACCAAACTGGGTTTGAACCCAGCAAAGACGCAGCCAGACTGAAGATGACAAGTCCCCGTAGCATAAACACGTACACACCCACACGCACACACACGGCTAACCCCACTGAAATATTAAGTGTGCACCCTCAATACGCCAGCAGGTAACCAGGAACAGCTTGTGTGTTTTAAGTTCATGGAGCTACTGGTCTCAGCGCGAGTGTATTGGTCCTCACAAACACAGTATAACAAGAATGTGTGTGTGGTGCGCAAAGTTAGAGAGGTTGTTTTAAGCGACGAGGTGGATTCGTCACAGTCACAATAACCATGACATGAAATGTTCATATCCTACAACAGGGATATTCTTCTGGCAAACGGGTAGATAAATAAGGATCTCACCGAATTTGGTGGAAGCTGCATCTCGCTCGTTACATTCGCCATCTTCCCTCTAACTGTCTGCACCTGCGCTTGGGTTCAGAAGCCTGTTAAAGCGCAGTATTTTCAGCGCCCCAATACCATAAAGTTCCGAGACGCTGATTGGCCATTAAATTCACCTAGCAATAGTACATGATTCACAGATTCTCTGCAAATGTGGGTCAGTCTGATCAGCGCCCCCAGAACAGAGACAGTAGGAGTCTGTCTGTGGAAATCCACAAATTAATGACAGTAGATAGGGAAATGTAGTTTATATAATTTGTTTTGCTTATAGGTACACAGTCTAGAGAGTAAAACTGACATTTATGAGTTAATTTCTAAAAATATATTTACGTTTCTCTCTTCTTATCAGGGAGGGCGGTGCCCCAGCGCCCCCTATGGGCCGGCCGCCACTGGTATAGATACCTAAAAAGTGTACTTAAGTACAGTAACAAAGTATTTATACTTCATTACTTGACACCTCTGGCCTGCTCTAAGTGTTCAGAATGGATGTAGATCAGAGCTGCTCTGAGGCTCTGCTTTGGTCTGCTGTCCGTGGTGCTTAAAACAAACCCACGGTCAAAGCTTTAGGAGGACAGACTAAAGTATGAAAAAACATGCAGGTCTGTGTGACCCACAATCACTGTTTATCATATTATCCTTGTAAATGTGCAAAGCATCGAATGTGAGAGCTTGACGAGCAGTTTTACGTTTTAGAAAAAAGTCCCACGTGCTGAATGTTAATAGAAAGACGATGCTTTCAGCTCTCCAGTCTTCTCCCACCGCTGGCTCCCGTCATTTGTACGCATAGCATTCTCGGTTTGTTACCACCGTGTCTGATGAGGTGCGAACCCCGAAGGAACGTTCACCCTTCTGTTTTCCTTTCCTTTCCTCCTCCTCCTCCTCCTCCTCTTCCTCATCTTCCTCCTCGTCGTCGAGCTGCCGCAGCAGCTGCAGACGCGGTGAGTGGGTCCTGCAGCAGCAGCCGCAGCAGGACGCAGTGATACCTGACTCCGGACTAAAAACCCGCAAATACCTATGGCTTCCTGTGGAGATATTTCAGCATGTGATTTGGTAAGTTGCTTTTTCCCCCCGATTTTTTTTTTAAAACGGCAGCTGAAACTAATAAAGCATTCAGATCCCACATGTATCTTGGTGATATTGCAAGAACATGCACAGAATTAATTTGATTAAGTGGGCAGCATATATATATGTATATATATATATATATATATATATATATATATATATATATATATATATATATATATATATATATATATATATATATATATATATATATATATATATATATATATATATATATATATTTTAAGTGAAGGTCATCCAGAAGCATTATATATTCAACATCTACTATATAAAAAACGGGGCAGGGCAAAATTAGCCTATTGATTTTGCAGCACTGAGGGGAAAAAACATTTGTCTCACATTGATTGTAATTAAGGCTGTTTTGTTCTGACACACATCTGACATTGTTGTCATTTAAAAGCTGGTCTGTCTTAGGTTGCTTAATCACCGTCATTTCTGGAAAGGATAACTGTAATGATAATAATCTTCATCAAGGAATCAGATAGAAAGGCTGCATTATTTGCGTGGAGACATGCAGTACACGTTTACAGCACTGCATCTGAGTTAATTGGAGGCATTCTTCTGGATTAGGTTAGGATAGAAATGAAATGTTCATGCATTAAGGAGGAGCCCTGTAGGGTGACACAGTTGTTTAAAATTATAGTTATAGTTGACACAGAGACTGCCAATGATTATTCCTCTGTCCGTCTGCATCAGCTTTAGTAAATGGACACAGTACATGGTCAGGGTTATCTTTTCTTAGACTGGATTTGTTTTTCTTCTTGCAAATCTCAATCTCAACATGTGTTTTAGTTTACTTACTTACTGGAATTGCAGCATTGTGTAAAGCTTCACATATTTCCATTGGACTCACACGTTTTCAGCTATGAGAAAAGCAAATGCTCTTTGTTGCCCTCAGGATCATTTCATGTTCTGTCCAACAGCTGTTTCCTGCTTTGGAGCTCTGTTAATCCCAAACACATATGCTTTATTTTAACTTAACCCAATTTTAATGCTGTGAGAACCTCCTGGTTTGATGTATTGCAAGAAGAGCAGCAAAACCTCCTAAGCACATGTATGGTTCTGTTTGTTTTGTTTTCTTTCATTTGGTTTCACTGTTCAGATTTCTGCGGTTTGCCCCCACAGCACTGTCTGATATATGACTTGATGAAGCTTCTGAGAGATGCTGTAGAAGTGACTGGATTCAGTGACAGAGGGAAAGGACACAGGAAAATAAGACTGTGTGTGTGTCTGAGAACATGTGTTTTTATTCTAGTGCTTGTTTTAAAGTGTTTTGATTTTTGTGAACAACAGTATTACTAGGAAGCTTTTGGGTTGTGTAAGAATGAGCTGATTTTTAATTCTGTTTACATTTAGTAAAAATGCAACAATCACTTAAAGAAATTTAAGATGCCCATCACACACATTACTTTTCTTGGGTTTTAATTGTGCAAAAAATACACAACCTAAAATGAATAATACTACAAACTGGAATTGAATGATATTATGACCTTACTGACTGATATATAAGGCACTGTTTTGCGACAAACAAGGGAGAATTAAAACCACCACTAGGTTACGTTCAACCAAGTGAAGCATAAATCTGTTACGGAAGAGATGCTGAAGTAAATATGTCAGTGGTGTTAATGTTGTTGTTTATTTATTTCAGAAAAATACCAATCTGCTGTTTGAAATGACTACACAGGACAGGAGGCCAGAAAAGATGGAAAATAGAAGGAAAACACATATAGGCCTAATTTCCAATAAGCATCTCTAATACAATTGATGTTATATTTACATTTGATTTCAAGCTATGAGTGCATTAGAGCTGCGATGTTGAGATGCTATATTAGTACACAAAAATGCTTTTGCCAAATAATCGTTGCTAATACAGCTTGAATTTCAAAGCAAGGTGTCTAATAATTAGAAATCTACCAACCTATTATTCAGAGATTGGAATTATCACTATGGATAAATATATAATATATATTCTTTGCTCAAATAACCCTGTCATTTTGGTTTTCTAAACACATTTGCCATCGGCATCCTCATTCACTGTCCGTACTTTTCATTTAGCAAAAACCTACGCATTTTGGCTAAATATGCTTTGATGCGTGAATTCAGTTGTGTATTTCATTCATTTACTGTTGAATGTAAAATACAGATCTCTATGAAGTGGCCTGTAAAACAATATTTATGCTGCAGTTCTTTGGGGAAAAAAAGATCTGAATTAGTCACTCTTAATCTGAAAGAAAATATGTTGCTTTTTATAGTCTAGTGGGGATTCCGGATGATCCGTCCCAAACCAAGTATACTGTCTGTCTGTCTGTCTGGGTAAAAGTCATAGTAACCTTTTCTTTAAAGTGCAAAATGTGGTGTTTACTGTATTAAAAAGGAGCATCCACTGGAGATGCCGGGAAGGGTGTGTGTGTGTTTATGTGTGGATTCCTGCGGACGATGAGTCAGCTGTGACAGGGTCTGATAACTCAGTCACTTTTTTTTTTTCGTTGTTTTTTAAAAAAAAAAGCAACATCTGGAGGAAAATGTAGGCTATAGGTCCAGAACCAGTGCGTAATGTATTAAGAATGTCTTGATTAAACGGACATTATTACATTCATGAAATTGAATGGCTGCTCAATGAGATCAATGCAGAAAGATATCATAAAATACAAAAACAAGACGAAAATGTATTACTTTAAGAGTTTTTTCTATTCTGTCTGTTTCAAATTCTTCTGGTTTATTTTTAATAACTTTAAAGCTTTTATTCAGGAAAACAGTGTGCAAAATGAAACAGTTATCACAATTAATGTAATACATCTGTGTCCACCCATGCCTTTTTATCATGCAAGATTTAAAATTATGACAAAGATAGTTCATTATTTTTTCAGGTGATCCATATTAAAGTTTAAGTAAAGCAGGGTTTTAAATAAATACAGGCCAATGCTTAAAGAATAATACAGTATATGTTATAAAAATGAACGAATGAATAGAGAACTATATTTAAAACAATCCAATAAAAAATTACAAATATAACACATGCAAACAATATGTATAATTAATAACACATAAAAATACCTTATACAGGTGCTGGTCATAAAATTAGAATATCATGAAAAAGTAGATTGATTTCAGTAATTCCATTTAAAAAGTGAAACTTGTATATTATATTCATACATTACATACAAACTCATATATTTCAGATGTTTATTTTGTTTAATTTTGATGATTACAAATGACAACAAATGAAAATCTCAAATTCATCATATCAGAAAATTAGAATATTGTGAAAAGGTTCAAAATTGATGGCCCCTGGTGCCACACTCTAATCAGCTAATTAACTCAAACCACCTGCAAAAGCCTTTAAATGGTCTTTCAGTCTAGTTCTATAGGCTACACAATCATGGGGAAGACTGCTGACTTGACAGTTGTCCAAAAGACGACCATCGACACCTTGCACAAGGAGGGCAAGACACAAAAGGTCATCGCTAAAGAGGCTGGCTGTTCACAGAGCTCAGTGTCCAAGCATATTAATAGAGAGGCGAAGGGAAGGAAAAGATGTGGTTGAAAAAAGTGTACAAGCAAGAGAGATAACCGCACCCTGGAGAGGATTGTGAAACAAAACCCATTCAAAAATGTGGGGGAGATTCACAAAGAGTGGACTGCAGCTGGAGTGAGTGCTTCAAGAACCACCACACACAGACGTATGAAAGACATGGGTTTCTGCTGTCGCATTCCTTGTGTCAAGCCACTCTTGAACCACAGACAGCGTCAGAAGCGTCTTGCCTGGGCTAAAGAGAAACAGGACTGGACTGCTGGTGAGTGGTCCAAAGTCATGTTCTCTGATGAAAGTAAATTTTGCATTTCCTTTGGAAATCAAGGTCCCAGAGTCTGGAGGAAAAGAAGAGAGGCACTTCATCCACGTTGCTTGAAGTCCAGTGTAAAGTTTCCACAGTCAGTGATGGTTTGGGGTGCCATGTCATCTGCTGGTGTTGGTCCATTGTGTTTTCTGAGGTCCAGGGTCAACGCAGCCACATACCAGGAAGTTTTAGAGCACTTCATGCTTCCTGCAGCTGACCAACTTTTTGGAGATGCAGATTTCATTTTCCAACAGGACTTGGCACCTGCACACAGTGCCAAAGCTACCAGTACCTGGTTGAAGGACCATGGTATCCCTGTTTTTAATTGGCCAGCAAACTCTCCTGACCTTAACCCCATAGAAAATCTATGGGGTATTGTGAAGAAGAAGATGCAATACACCAGACCCAACAATTCAGAAGAGCTAAAAGCCACTATTAGAGCAACCTGGGCTATCATAACACCTGAGCAGTGCCACAGACTGATCGACTCCATGCCACGCCGCATTGCTGCAGTAATACAGGCCAAAGGAGGCCCAACTAAATACTGAGTGCTGTACATGCTCATACTTTTCATGTTCATACTTTTCAGTTGGCCAACATTTCTATAAATCCTTTGTTTTTATTGGTCTTCAGTAATATTCTAATTTTCTGATATGATGAATTTGAGATTTTCATTTGTTGTCATTTGTAATCATCAAAATTAAACAAAATAAACATCTGAAATATATGAGTTTGTATGTAATGTATGAATATAATATACAAGTTTCACTTTTTAAATGGAATTACTGAAATCAATCTACTTTTTCATGATATTCTAATTTTATGACCAGCACCTGTATGTATGACTTAATGCTAATACCTGAAAGGGTTAGAAGTTAAAATTATTTAATCATACTCCTTCACCTTCCTATAGTTCTGAACATTAACAATATTCCTGATTTCTTCTTAGCTTGAAGTCCATTAAGTGAGTAAATATTTAGTTTATGTACATGCAGTATAAACTAGGGCATTCATTAACTCTGGCTCCATTCATCCCTCCTTTTTTTACAGGACCCCAAAATACTTGAACTCCTCCATTTGAGGCAGAAATATATATACTGTATGGATATATATATATATATATATATATATATATATATATATATATATATATATATATATATATATATATATATATATATATATATATATATATATATATATCTATATATATATATATATAGATATATATATATCCTTTTGGACCTGATCTGTTTCACAGAAAAGTATAATTAGATGCAATCATTTCCTCATTTCATAATTTACAAAGCAATACGTTATCGCGGAATTAAATAAAAAAATACATACAATGCTGCACCACAATTTTGTAAACATTCTACCAAAATAAGCATCAGCATAATGAATAAGCCTAATTAGTCAAAAAAGATTTATGCTGTTTGCTGCAAAAGTATCAATAACATTCCAACTTTTTTTATTTATTTATTACAGTGCAACTGCAAATTTCAATACATTTCATTGTGTTTCTAATTTGATTTAAATACAATTTAGTTCTGATTCCTTAAGTTTCTATTTAGTAAAAAGATTCTGAGTTTATGCATTTTAATTTCACTATACGGTGTATCCAGAAAGTATTTATGACAGCACATTTTCCACATATAGCTCTGCAACAGCCCTTTTTCAGAATTAATCTAAATTCATCTCTTCTCTTGATTTTTTAACACACAATACTGCATTGTGAAAATATGAATTAGTTTTTTTTTTTAGTCAGAAATGTGATACATATTTGTTGCATATAGAAAACTAAGAAATCACTCTTAGTTATTTATAACCTTGCTTAATATTTTGCCGATTCATATTTAAGAACAATTGTAGTTTCAAGTCTTTCTGTGTCTTTTTTATCCACTCTCAATTAGGTTTATTTATATAGCACCAATTCAGCTTTAAGCACCCATTCTTCTTTGTAGTACATCTCAAGCTCCATCAGATGGTGGATGCCTGTTTATAGCCATTTTCAGACTTCTCTTGATGTGTTCAATTGGATTAAAATTTGGTCTCTAGTTTGAAAACTCCATGACATTCACAGGGGAGTTCTAAAGCCACTCCAATAAGGTCTTTGCTGTTTCTTTTGAGTCGCTGCACCAGGTTACTCGGGGACAAGTTTTCAACCATGATGTCTCTGTACATGACTACTGTACATTTATCTTTCCCTCAAACATTCCCCTCAGCATGATATTGCCACCATATGCATCACTGAGGGGATTTTTTTTGTTTGTGTTTGTGTGTCTGGTTTGATGGTTTTCCTCCTAATATGCCTGCCCTGGCTTTCACCTCAAGCTTTCTATCTTTGTCTCATCCGACCAGATCATTTATTTCTCATGGTCTGAGAGTCCTTTGGTTGCCTTTTGGCAAACTTCAGACAGGCTGCCTTTGATTGTGCATTTTATTGAGAGGTGTCTTTTATCTATCTCAGCCAATAAAAAAAAATAAAATGAAACAGAAGGCTTCATGAAAAACCAAAACAACTTACTCTTGTACTACTCTTGCTTTTACTCTTTTAAAGATAAGATGGTGGATTCTGAGAGAACAGATTTGATAGCATAGCAGCAGCTATACATGCTCCTCCTGTGCGGTTATATTTGTTTGGTTCAGCTCTGCATTTCTTGCATCTTGACAGCTATATGTCCCACTGAGGCAGGAGCGGTACAAGATGAATTTTCATGTGTTTATGAATGCATTCATACTGCAAGAAGTTAGCTTCAAGGGAAGATGAGCCTTCATCTGGCCACACTACCAAACAGGCTGGATTAGTGGATTCGCTGTAGAGACTGTTGTCCCTCTGGAAGGTTCTCATCTTTCCACAAAGGAAAACTGGGGCTCTGACAGAGTGACCATGGGGTTTTTGGTCAACACTCTGATTAGAGCCCTTCTCTGCTGATTGCTTAGTTCAGACATTTGGCCAGCTAGGACTTGGCCTTGTGGTTTAAAACATCTTTCATTTACAAATGCTGAAGGCCTCAGTGCTTATTGGGATCTACCAACCAACAGAAATTTTATCTGCATACATTTCCTGATTTGTACCTCATTACAATCTTTTCTCTGAGGTCCAGAGACAATTCCTTCGATTTTATACATGGTGTTATTGTACCTTCAATAAATAAATATAAGGTTTATCTTTTGAATCATTTGAATTGATCATAAATGGACATCATTTGAGCTGTAAAAATTTCTGAGTGAATGATCTGTGAAAACAGTATGCATCTCAGCTGAATTTTGAGTTTACTTAATTCTGATTTCATAGTTCTATATTTGTAATAAATTTGCAACAATAGAAAAAAAGAAAACATTTGCACATATTCATAATGATGTATTGTGTTTAGAATTTTGAGAAAGCAGACGGATGTATTACCATGTGGAAAATGGCTATAACAAAAATGAACATAGAAAAAGTGCAGCGAAAGGGAATACTCGGAAGGTACTGAAAAGCTGATAAAGACATACTGCAAGGAGTTAATATTGTATTCATAATGACATGCAGTTTGGTCATTTTTCCCTCTATCTCACAATAATGCTCTGCTTTCTCAAAATGTATGAAAAAATGAAAAACAAAACAGCTTAAAATGACACAAATTATTGTAACAATAATTTTACATTACACAGTGAATTTATATTTTAAGTAATATTTTCCCTCAAAGAAAATGACAGGTTTCATTCATTCACAAATAATAATTTAGCCTGTTGAATGTTGGAGCTCCTGTCAGGGAAAAATAACCATCCATCCATTTTCCATCACACTTATCCCAAGCTGGGTCGTTAGGGGTGCTGGTGCCTATCTCTAGCTGTCTACGGGGCAAGAGGCGGGGCACACCCTGGACAGGTCGCCAGTCCATCGCAGGGCAACACAGAGACACACATTGTTGCAACAGTGTTACAAACAACCATTCACACAAACACACACTCACAAAGAATTTAGAGAAGCCAATTAACCTAAAAGTCATAACTTTTTAAAAGTCTTAAATAACTTCAAATGTTTAGATATTTGGACAACTCCAGTGAGACACGCTGATTTCATCCAGTGGGGCTTAAAGATATCCTTGCATTCAAATATGTTCAATTTTAACCCTTTACAGGAAAGACATTACTCTTATTCTTCTCTTTTTTGTGTGTTTCAGAGCCATTAATGCTGTTGTGACTCCAAGAACAAGATTTCAGTAAACAACAATTCACATATACAGATCCTGTCAAGCCATTTGGACACAAGCTCTTCACCAGGCACAATGAGAGGCTACCTGCTCACTGCAATTTTCTTTATGCCCTTGGTGAGTCATTTATCTACATGTTCTGAATATGTGGGACAAATTTTAGTCATATAGGATTTAAAGTGTAATATTTGTATATCTGCATCCTCAGTCTCCAATGTCAGTTGTAATTTAAGTTCACCTTTTGGCTTTTTTACTAAGTATGCCTGTATACATGTATTCATTATGGTTGCAGAAAAATCCCCACCTACAGCACCAGCATACACTACAGGTCCAGGATCATCTTCATGTTAATCTGGATGCCTTCCTCTTAGAACAATAACAGATGGCCAGGCTGACCAGAGAGCTGTAAATCCAACTGCTGTGACTCATAGTTATTAGCACTTCTGTTGCAATTAAAAGGGCTGATAGAGCTTTGCAAAAGAATCATAGTAAGTGCCCTGGTACAACACAGCTTTAAAAGATGTATCAGTCACATTTCTTCTTATTTTAACAGATTAAAAAAAGACAACTAAAATCCAATACCTAATTAACAAAGTTGTTAGATATTATTCTCCTAAGGGCCTGATCGTCGAAAAGTTTGCATAAGTAAAAACGTACCAACTTCTTTGCACACATAAAGCTGATCTACCAACCAGGGGTAAAAATACATTAAATGTGTAAAATCAGTGGGCAACAAGAGCACATACTGGATAAAGGACATGCCATATTTTCCAGTTACAAAGTTATTTATCAAACCTGAAACAGATAGCAGTATTGGTGCAATGACAGACAGGTAAAGTCTGTGCAAAAATGATAATAATTGGGCATTGGCTACTATGAAATTCTCATGGTATGATAACCTTAAGAACAAATTTTAGGGGGATCAAGGGTTTGTTCTGTTTAAATCCAAATTGCCTGCATTCACAGTAAATTCCACAATGTTAAATATACTGCTTCAAAGTTCATTGAATCTTATAGAGTATTCGGAACAAACACAAAGATATACACTATGTAGGGAGTTAATTTAACACTAACTCAGATTGGGACCAAATGCTCTCTGATTGGTGTTAAATTTTTACTTTAACACTGCAAAGTTTACTGTCTGTAAACAGACACAGCTGTGTCTTGTATTTTTATTGTTGGGTTTAAGTCAACAAGTATATGCGTTTTTAAAATGATACAGAAAAAATACATTGGTCTAATTGATGTACAGCTTGAGGTGGATTCTAGGTGGATTCTACTTTTTGCGCTGCATACATTTTTTTGTGTTGTGAAAATGCAGCCTAGAGAGAACTTTGGTTGTACTGTATCTTTCTGCAAAGCACTTAGTGACCCTTTGAAAGGTATATACTGTAAATACTATATATATATATATATATATATATATATATATATATATATATATATATATATATACATACACTCACCGGCCACTTTATTAGGTACACCTGTCCAACTGCTCGTTAACACTTAATTTCTAAGCAGCCAATCACATGGCGGCAACTCAGTGCATTGAGGTATGTAGACATGGTCAAGACAATCTCCTGCAGTTCAAACCGAGCATCAATATGGGGAAGAAAGGTGATTTGAGTGACTTTGAACGTGGCATGATTGTTGGTGCCAGAAGGGCTGGTCTGAGTATTTCAGAAACTGCTGATCTACTGGGATTTTCACACACAACCATCTCTAGGGTTTACAGAGAATGGTCCGAAAAAGAAAAAACATCCAGTGAGCGGCAGTTCTGTGGGCGGAAATGCCTTGTTGATGCCAGAGGTCAGAGGAGAATGGCCAGACTGGTTCGAGCTGATAGAAGGGCAACAGTGACTCAAATAACCACCCGTTACAATCAAGGTGGGCAGAAGAGCATCTCTGAACGCACAGTACGTCGAACTTTAAGGCAGATGGGCTACAGCAGCAGAAGACCACACCGGGTGCCACTCCTTTCAGCTAAGAACAGGAAACTGAGGCTACAATTTGCACAAGCTCATCGAAATTGGACAATAGAAGTTTGGAAAAACGTTGCCTGGTCTGATGAGTCTCGATTTCTGCTGCGACATTCAGATGGTAGGGTCAGAATTTGGCGTCTACAACATGAAAGCATGGATCCATCCTGCCTTGTATCAACGGTTCAGGCTGGTGGTGGTGGTGTCATGGTGTGGGGAATATTTTCTTGGCACTCTTTGGGCCCCTTGGTACCAATTGAGCATCGTTGCAACGCCACAGCCTACCTGAGTATTGTTGCTGACCATGTCCATCCCTTTATGACCACAATGTACCCAACTTCTGATGGCTACTTTCAGCAGGATAATGCGCCATGTCATAAAGCTGGAATAATCTCAGACTGGTTTCTTGAACCTGACAATGAGTTCACTGTACTCAAATGGCCTCCACAGTCACCAGATCTAAATCTAATAGAGCATCTTTGGGATGTGGTGGAACGGGAGATTCGCATCATGGATGTGCAGCCGACAAATCTGTCGGCAACTGTGTGATGCCAACATGTCAATATGGACCAAACTCCCTGAGGAATGCTTCCAGCACCTTGTTGAATCTATGTCACGAAGAATTGAGGCAGTTCTGAAGGCAAAAGGGGGTCCAACCCGTTACTAGCATGGGGTACCTAATAAAGTGGCCGGTAAGAGTATATATATAGAGAGAGACAGAGAGAGAGAGAGAGAGAGAGAGAGAGAGAGAGATACATCTGTACATATATATATTGATATATGGATATATATAGATATACATCTATATATATATATCTATATATATATAGATATATATATAGATATATATATATATAAAAAAAAAACTGTTTTCTCACCCCTCGTGGGGTGGTACGTGTCATCCTCAAGCTCGGGTCCTCTACCAGAGGCCTGGGAGTTTGAGGGTTCTGCGCAGTATCTTAGCTGTTCCTAGGACTGCGCTCTTCTGGACAGAGACCTCTGATGTTTTACCTGGAATCTGCTGTAGCCACTCTCCCAGTTTGGGGGTCACAGCCCCCAGTGCTCCAATTACCACTGGCACCACTGCTGCTCTTACTATATATATATATATATATATCTACTGTATATATATATATATATATATATATATATATATATACAGTATATATATAGATATATAGATATATATATATATAAATATCACATGATGTGCTTGTTATGTGTCTGGACTTGTCATGGCAGTCGATTTGGTGGTCTGCAACATCAAATGAGAATTTTATTATCTGCTTTGCACACTGCTGTGGGAGTCACTGAGCTCTCAGGTCCTAGAAAATAGCCTTGGGAGAGAAGCAGTGTGTTCTGCTGCTGCAGAATAGAAGGCTTATCTGGGCAGTCATCTGTTTCAGAGAGAAGAAATAATTAGAACCAGAGAATAGGAAGCTCACATGAAAACTCATTTCATTGATCTCAGATCCCTTCAGTATTGCTATGGTGACTGGTTAAGGTGGATATCTGGAGAATTAGCATAATGTTCTTCAGCTATTCTATATTTTTTCTTTCTTTTTTTTTTCCTTTTGCGGTTTTATTGATTTTTTTTTTTTGTATTTCTGTTGTGCTATTATTTGGACATCCCTTTTTCTTAAAAGGGAATGGGCATAAAACATTTACAAATTTTAAATTTAAGTTTATAAAGTTTTTAAGTTAAATATTTTTTAAATATATTAATTACATATGTATGAATATAAATATATGTAAAGTTACCAAATAATTTTAGACAAATAATACATTAAAGCCACATCCTAAATATAATCATCCACCACCGCCCTGTGTCATTTAGGAGTCTTCTTGCTGCCACACACATGACTTAAATAATCAGCCATCTGCAACACTTGAAGGCTGCTGAGGAGTGTATGTATTCAGAGACATCTAAAACATGCAGGGCAGTATAAACTGAGGACAAGGATTGAGAAGCAGCTTTTAGGATTTTAGGAAGCAGCTTACTACACACACAAATCCAAGCTTTACATCTGCAGCAAGAAAGCTTTAAGATGTTAAATAATATCCAGTAATCAAAACCATATACTGTAGTGTGCACCTAAGCACACACACACACACACATATTGCTCTTTTAGATGTAAACTAATCTCAGTTTTAATCTGGACACACTATCCCCAGTGTTGGAAGAATTATTCTGTAGGAATGCTTCTCTTCAGCAGGGCCAGATTGTGGAACTAAATACAGGACAATGCTGAATAGAGACCTGTTAAGGAAGCCAAACGAGTAGAAGAGGAAAAAGAAGGAAGTGTCAATGCCTCCTCTTAAATATTTACCTCACTAGAGTGAAACACGCTGCCCTGGCAATTTGTAAAATTTTGTGTGCTGAAAGCCCTTAAAAGAAAGTAAAGAACTCAATTTTACTCGCACCCCCCCCAATGCTTCTGTGTTTTCGTCTGAGAGGGTGAAGAAGACGAATCCTTGTTTGCACATGCACACTGAGTGATTTGCCCATGACCAGCTTACTATGGCCGAATGAATTTCAAACATGTTTGATTTTCTTACGACCCTATTATTCCTGATTGGTAGGTGCTCATGAGAGGCTAACTGCCCCTCATCACCCCCAATACACTATACGACACACGATCAGGCTGAAGTCTGCCCGATCGAAAAATTCTCGCACGACGGGAGAATCGGCCTGAAAAGGACAAAAAATCGTACAGTGTATGCCTGGCTTTAAAGGATCCAACATATTTCATACTGAGCCAGAGGACTATGACTCTCAGGGAATGTCGAACCCATTTTTTTTCTTACCAAAGCCTTTTCCCAAAATGGCCAGGTATAGATTAAGGTGTAAAATCAATTAAGAATATCTAGCAAGGCTTGAAACTGTGTGTTCAGACTTTCTATTTAACCTAACTGAGATTGAGCTATGTTGCATTGAAAAACAGGCAGAAACAAAATTCATTAGTTGTGCGAAGCTCCTATAGAGCCCAATACCAAATGACTACCAGCTGTCAGTGCAGCAAAAGGCTGAAAAAAAAGTTATCTTTTGTACTAGCCATATTTCAAAAATAGTAAAGAAAACAACAATCAGAAGATCTAAAGCAACAGAAGCCATGCCAAACTACGGCAAGTAAGAGATAACACAGAATATGCAAGATTCGCTGCACAAAAGACTGGGATTGTGGAGGTCACAAAGACTCAAAGCCCCAGTATGTAGGATTCACACACTCTACAATAAGTAATTTACAATCAAGTAGTATGCTCTGGTGCCTACTACTGTAAGGAGTGTTATAAAACAATATCAACATCTCGCAAGAGTTCAAGTGTCCTATCAGGTGAAGCCTCCCATGACAGGTGTTCCAGGTATGTTTTTCTGGTAGGAGGTCCAGGGGGCTAATCTCTGATTAGACAAAAATATAGCTTTTTGGTCTAAATTCCATTTGTTTGTAAAATGAAGGATGACTACAACCCCAAATACACCATCACAACTGTGAAGCATGGAGGTGGAAACATAATTCTTTGTGGATGTTCTCCTGCAAAGATCACAGCATGACTAAATCATATTGAATGGAGGACAGATGGGACTACATATTGGGAGATCTTAGCCAACATTCTCCTTTCCCCAGTGAAGGGATTAAAGCTATGTTTGGCTGTTTTTCTTTTTGTTGTTTTTTTTCCAGCATGACAAGGACCTCCACAGGATATTCTCCATTTCAGCATATCAAGGTCCTGTGGTGGCCTAGCCAGTTTCCAGACCCCTTGAACCCAATCTAAAATATTTGGAGGGAGCTGAAAGTTTGTATTGCATAGCCACAGTGCCAAAACCTAAACGGTTTACAGATCGGCATGGAGGAGGGGTCCAAAATCAGTTCTGCAGTCTGTGCAAACCTTGTCAAAAAGGAATCAGATGCTTCAGAGGAAGCATCTGATTTCTTTACTTGCAAACAATGTATCAAATATAAATGTTTGTTTTTCTGATGTGCTAAATAATTCAGTCATACCATAAAATGCGAATGTGTAACTTGAAATTACATTGGGATTTTTCTCATTTTTTTGTTAAAGAGTATCCATGATAAAAAAATTAAAAAGGCTTATACTTGATTTTTACACACACACACACACATATATATATATATATATATATATATATATATATATATATATATATATATATATATATATATATATATATATATATATATATATATATATATATATATATATATATATATATATATATATATATATATATATAAAAACTGTTTTCTCACCCCTCGTGGGGTGGTATGTGTCATCCTCAAGCTCGGGTCCTCTACCAGAGGCCTGGGAGTTTGAGGGTTCTGCGCAGTATCTTAGCTGTTCCTAGGACTGCGCTCTTCTGGACAGAGACCTCTGATGTTTTACCTGGAATCTGCTGTAGCCACTCTCCCAGTTTGGGGGTCACAGCCCCCAGTGCTCCAATTACCACTGGCACCACTGCTGCTCTCACTTTCCACATCTTTTCTAGCTCCTCCTTCAGTCCTTGGTATTTCTCAAGCTTCTCGTGTTCTTTCTTCTTGATGTTGCTGTCGCTTGGGATTGCCACATCTATCACTACTGCCTTCTTCTGCTGCTTGTCCATCAACACGATGTCTGGTTGGTTAGCCATCATCATATATATATATATATATATATATATATATATATATATATATATATATATATATATATATGTATATATATATATATATAAACTGTTTTCTCACCCCTCGTGGGGTGGTATGTGTCATCCTCAAGCTCGGGTCCTCTACCAGAGGCCTAGGAGTTATATATATATATATATATATCTGTGTGTGGGTGGCTATGCTTTTATTGCCCTGTTGGGACAATTTCACAGAAATATGCATTTAGAGGACTTACAGGTACTTGTGGGGACCAGCAACTGGTTCCTAAGAGGAAGAGTGGGTTTGGGGGTTAGGTTTAGGACTAAGAAGTGAATTGAGGTTTGGTTAGGTTTAGAGTTGTGTATGTGTTGGTAATGGTTAGGGTAAGGATATAGGTTAAGGCGTAAATATTAATGCGAAGTCAATGGAACGTTCACACAAGAATAAATTGATGTGCGTGTTTTCTTGTATTTTATACATACTGTGGTCCATTTTCAAGACAAATAGCATTTTGGGGGAACCGAATAATCCTTGGGGGGTTGTTTGGACCCCGCAAGGGAAGATGCTGTTTTAGGGTCAGGGGTAATGTTTAGGACTAAGGTGTGAATTGAGTTTAGATTAGGGTTAGGTTTAAATACTAGCCCATAATGGTTAGGTTTAGGGTAGGCTGTAGAAATTAATGTAGGTTATGTGATGTGTGTGTAAACATTACAATTTCTTTTGGCAAGACAAATGTAACAGTTGTTTTGTCTTATATCTAAATTTATGATGTGAATTGTTTAGCAATGACTCTAATTGAAGAACTATCAGCAAAGATAGGAAAATACAAATATTACAATGAAGTTAGGAGCAGAAACTAACAGTGAAGCTCAAGCCTTCAGCAAGCAGAACCATATCTTCAACTTGATTGCATAAATTCAGAATAACACATTCATCCTTTTATCTGACAGCTCTGTCTGAATTTATGCCAAACATATCTTAGTCATCTGCATCCAATTATTTCTAATGTGGGAAGCTTTGCCTTCAGTATGCTGGTTACATGTTGCTTAGCAACATGGATACTACGTGTGGGTATGAAAGGTGCTTTTTCTTTTGAAACGGTATTGGAGAAAATGCATTATTAATTGACTACAGATATATGAAAAACCAATTATCAAAGAAGCGGCTGTTTTCTTTTGAATTTATTTATTATAGTTTATTAGAAATGTTAATGCTTCACAGCACATATTTCTCTTTTGATGCTCATATAATTAATAATTCACCATGTTTCAAATTCAAGATATGTGGGGCATTATAAGGAAGGAGGTGAATTCTTCATAATTTTCAAGCAACATCCCAATCTTAACAGTGTAGCAAAGCCCGAAGTGAGTTGATTTTAGATGCAGAGATTAAGTGATGAGTCAGCCATGGCTCAGAGGGTTGGGATACATTACACCTATCTTTTCACTGTGAGAAGGAAGGAGAGACTGAGGTTGTGAAATGGAGATTGGCCCCAAAGGAATCAGAAGAAACTTGGAGTCAGAAGATGACAGTGACTGCAAAACCTCTCAAAAAATACGTTCTATGTCTTTATTTACTTTGTTTGGCTTTTCTGAGAGCCATTTCTGATTATAGAATGTCTGCAAGTTGTGCCACATAGGTCTCTAATGAGAACATTAGAAACTTTGGGCTTTTAAAATTTCACTTGATATTTTAGTGAAAATTTTAAGTTTAAGTGTTATTTTTGAATGAATGAATGAATGAATGAATGAATGAATGAATGAATGAATGAATGAATGAATGAATGAATGAATGAATGAATGAACAGGAATTTTAATAAATAGAATTTTTTTCAGACAATGACAATGTATGACAAACAACAGCTGTATACGAATCAACCAAATAAACACAAAAGAGACTAGTTAACATCAACCAAACCAAACACCAATTTCCAAACTAGCTATATTCACCTGAACATACATAGAAACAAAACCCTCCCCTAAATAAACCTGTTGGTATATACAGCCAGATAAATGACATCAGTTAATGTAAATGGCTGAAAAGGGATATGAAGAAGTAAAACTTATTTTTCATATCTCTTCCTCTAATTGCACTTAAATTAACTGAAAGTAGAGTAACCTTCCTGTTAAACTTGTTTTTTATCCAATATTCACACACACAAAAAATATATACTGTATATACATATATACACAATAATATACATATACACACACACACACACAGATATATATATAGATATATACATCTACATACATAAATGAACATATACATACCTCCACAAACACATCAGTACAAAATCCACTACACCCTTGTACAGTACATCGGTACTCATAGCACTACAAACCCCAGAAACCCCCCAGTTATCAGTGCCAAAGCCCAACACAGTTCCTATTATTTTGAAGGCTGAGTAAAATATCTTGTTTTCTTTGTTTTCTGCCTAGAAAATGTTGCTTTTGATTTTAAAAAATCACCAATATAACAAAATCAGTAACACCAGAGACTTGTTGTTGATTTGTTCTTGATCTTTGCCAATTTTACATTACTCATTTCAGCTTTTTTAAAGTTTTAAAACCAAGTGGATCCAAAAAATGCAGTATGAGGGATAATTATCTCTGAGAGAATAAGAGAAATAGACTTCCATTGGTAATCTGGATATGTTGTTCTTTAAAACTGTTTTAAATAGTGGAATTCTTTCTTTACACATTGAATCCAATTTTTAAAATCTGGTTTTCAGTGCTTTTTCTTGTTATTGTTGTTAGATGGGATTTTGTCAGATAAAGATGGTTGTTCATGCTTTTATTTCTGTTTAAGGTTTGTTTTTAGATTTTTGGCTATGAAGTGCCTTTTGATTTTATCTAGAAATGTGATATTTTAAATCATTTCATATTTTAATTAATTTTAATCACTTGCATCAATTAGTCAAGATATCCAAGGTTAACACAATGATGTGTTAACCTTGGATATATTGATGTTGTGATGGTCTTCTTATAAAAGATAGTAAATAAAAAATGAATTAAAGCAATATTTTTGTGACATTTCAAATAACTGCTGAGACAACATTTTACATATTTTTAATGAGATATCATTTCAGTCCCTCTGTGCATTAAAATTCTTAAAGTGAAACTTTCAACCTTTAGTTTCTCCTTACTTTCGTAATTTTAACTTTTTTACAGATGTGTGCCAATTTTGTGTTCTTACATGGAGCTGGTTAGAGGAATGCACTTGTTGGTTTCTAAACCTATTTTGACATCAGTTTTATTTTCACTTGTTTTCTGTAGGCGGCATCCGAGTCCAAGGACTGTATAATGAAGCATGAACATGAGAAATGCATTGAAATGATGGAAATGCACAACCCAGATGGCCTTGAATTTGGTGAGTGAGGATGTGAAATGCCTGTATGATCATGAATACGTCTATGTGCATAAATTGACAGTAGGCTGTTGCCTTTTACGGTTTCCAAATTCAAATTCTGTGCATCTTGGGAAACTCAGTGGACACTCAGAGGATCCTTTTGATGAAAGCCATGCCTCAGCCTTCATGGATCATTGGAAAGGCTCTGCTTTTTTCCACTAAGTGATTTAGCATATTACAGGCTTGAAAATACTTTTTTTTAAATGTGGCGATAAAAGATGATGTTTTATGTTTACATTCCAAACCACCGTTCTCATAAAGGCTGTCGAACAGCATATGCTGCTTTCTGTTAGTCGACAAAAAGAAAATAATTGCTCGACTGTTCCGGTAGGCTTCTTTCTGATTTTTTTTTTCCAATGTCACCTTTTCTCGAAAACACAGGAATCTTGTCATGTGGTTCATGGAAGCAATTATTTTCTTGGCCATGGATTGTGGTTTTCATTAGTGTCTGGTGCAGGCCTCCTGCTGCCTAAAATTTGTACAACAGACTGGAACTTCCTAACTGCTCTGTGACTCACCCCTTTGCTGACAGCCCCCAAAAGATTTATATTATGGGGCAAATAACCTTTAACATGCAATAGAGTTGGAACTTCAGCTCATTGATTGAAAATTATCATATAAAAGATTATTTAGCTGAGTATTGTTATATTGCACTGAAAAGCTTCACGTTGAACAAAAAGAAGAGAACCTTTTCAATTCCTTCTTTGAGATTATGTGGTGTTGTGAGTGGTTGCACTTTCCTGTTCAGTTTAGTCTAATGCCTGTTTAACATCAAAGATCCTGTTGGGTTTTTTTTCTTCTGTTATTGAAACAGTATGTCAGAGTTTTTTTTGTTAAAACTTTCCACTGTCGGCACACTCTGTCATATGTTGGCCCTCCATGACCCTTTAAATGATCCCTGTCTCTCCCTGTCCTTTTAAAGATGCTATTCTGCTCTTTCTGCTGACAGCAAATCGTTGGAGGAAGAATATAAAGGTGCCTGCTTTGCAGAGATCAGTCTAGCAGTCTTAGAAAAAAGCTTAACAAAAAGAGGAAAAGAAAAGAATGAACAATGAATATTATAGAAATGTGGTTCTAAAACTTATTTGTTTGGATTGTTCTGGTTTTTTACTTTTCCAGGTAAAATGTTAACAATGATTTATTATGGAGATCAGTTGGTTTTCACCTTTTATAATGCATCTCAACCAATAACTTTTAACAGGATTTCTCAGTCCTGATTCCGATGCAGTTATTGTAATTATTTAAATTAGCTGCTATTCTTGGAGAGGAAAACTAAACCAATCAAAATGTATATTAGAATTCGATAAACTGGCTAACATCTGTCTGATGTTGAATAGAAAAATGTTCAGTCTCTTTGTGTACAGAGTAACAGAAATTCTTAATAATCTAATCATAAGTAAGAACATCCTGTTTGACTATGGTTGAACCCACATTAAAAAAATTTAAATAAATCATTCACTCAAGGGATTAAAGGAGAAAATTACTTCTGTCTTGTAGATCCCTTTGCATGCTCCCAACACCCTGCATGTGGAGAAAATGTGTTGTGTGCATTCTGAATGTTTCCTGCCCAGTAAAGATTCAGCATGCAGTAAGATCTTGTTTTAGATGGCCAACGATGCAGACAGAGTCTTTTATTAAGCCTTACCTCTGTGGCTCAGTGCGGCTCATTTGGCTCTGATTTGCCCTTTAAAAGGTAATTGGCTTCGTGTCAGGCTCAGCAGACAGAACCAAAACAGATTAGCGAGGCAAGCAGAGAAGGAAAAGGTCTGCAAACTCATGCACACTCACATGTGTAGAGATGCATGCACACACAGATGCATCCTCACCACAAAACACATTGAAGACACAAACAATATTGACCTGGTGCAGCAGAAACAATGAGACAAAACGGAAGATAAAGTAGATAAAGAGTCAATTTAGCCAAAATTGTAACCAACCAAAGGAGAAAGGAAGAAGTATTTGGTTAAAATGCAATGAATTGAACAAATGTTATACACTATATATGGACCTTCACAAAGGTATCATAAAAACAGCATAAATCAGGTTTTAGGCTACTGTCACATTAGATAATATTGATGAGTGGTTCTCTTATTCACCAACTAAATTGGTGCAATTTGGCGTACTTGTGCTTAAATACCTCAAACAAAGGGTTACGTTTGAAACTTGTGCAAATTCTAATTTGAGCACAGCAGCAAAAGCAGCCGATTTTGCCCCATATTGTGACTAACACCTATAGATAAAACTCACGTATGATCTTGATCATAACCAGATTTTAATCAATTGTTCATTGGCATGAGGCACACCTCTGGTAAAAAAAATGTCATTAAAATTTGTTCATAACATTTCAGGTAATCCTGTGAACTTATAAACAGTACACCCTTTTCTTATGTTTTTGTATTTTTTTCTTCATTAGAATACTTTGGTAGTTTTTTAATTTGATGTTTAAGCTGTCCATAATAACTGCCGTTATCCTCTGGTTAAGGGGGAAATACGTATTTTACCAATTAACCCTATCTTACAATGTTAAGAATCCTGTATCCAGATTATGATCTGGATCATCACCAAAATTGAATGAATTTTCCTTGGTATGGGACGCACTTCTGGTATGAAAAATTCTGAAAGAAAAAAAGTCTATGATAGGGTTGAAATGTGCAAAAAGCTATCAAAACCTTTGTTGGTTTGTGTCTGGAAATGTACCAGACACAAACAATCCAATGTCCAACACCTGTGATGAATTGTAATGCAGCTCATTCTTGTCTGTAATGTCTGGACAGAATTTAGAGACCTGAAAGCTCAACCGACCCCAGGAAGAACCGTCATAAAAGAGTTTGTTAATTAATAAATTGGTGTTGCGGGAAATGACGGAAATTCGAATCACTGTAGGAAGAAGAGCAGGGTAGTAGCCAAGAACAACTCAGTCATGTTAGGGTGCACTAAATAAAAGCCACCAGCCTCCAATGCCAGAAGATTACACTGGCTCTGAAGATTGACCTTAGTGGCTGTGTTTAGATGATTTGGATCACTGTTTGTCTAATCCAAATCCTGAAAGGGCTAGACAGGACAAAGGCTAGTGAGGAACTATAGTCATTTCTGTGATTGTGCACAGGGAAATAGTCCATGTGGCAGAAGTTTCTAGTCCAGGATTCAAGCAAGAGAGTCACATTAATCAGGCAGAGGTTTTTAGAGGCAAACAAAAGGCAAGGCAGGAGGCCAATATCCAGAGGTCTGGAATAATACAGATCAATATCAGGAGGTCGAAACTAGGAATTCTGGATGGTCTAGTCACACAAATGCCTTTCAAGAATCTGGCAGTTCAGTTACATGCACACTGGGAGAACCAGACATATATAGTGCTTCTCCCAGTGCCGCAACTCCAAGTAATTGGAGCTGTCTCAGGTGTAACTACTCAGACCTTAATTGGCAGTACCGCTGAGGGAGCAGGAAGTGAAGTCATGGGATTGAACACAGCTGCTTTCACGGAAGAAACAGACAGGAAACATTTAGTTGATCCTATCAGTAATATTGATGTGTTATTTTAAACGGGGGGAAAAATATGGAAGCTGAACAAAGCTGCACAAATCAATGCACGAAAATCCAAGTGAGCATTGTGAGTTGCGCTCTTGTCCCCACAAAGCTTGCTTACAGAGCAAGCTTTGAGTACAGTACTTTTTGGTTCCAGTCATGTTTGGTCAGAATAGAATGGAAATAGAAGGAGACAGATCCAGACATAGAAAAAAAACAAAGATACAAAAGTTTACTAGCTCCACAGGCGGCCTCGTCCAGGAAAGACACAGCCCAGTTCCCATGTCAGAGGATGAAAGAGAGCACATATAGTTAGTCACAGTGAGAGAAACAGGACTACACTAGACACAATGTTAATATCAGCCACATTAGATCTATGTCCTTTTTTAATCATTGACCTTATATCTGATCATAGTCTTGATGTTATGAAACACGTTTAAACAAATATATTGAGATTTTATTGTCACAGATGTGACACATCCAAACTATAATTTCCTTCAAGAGAGTAGACAGCAGAGGAAAGGTGACACCGTGTTGAGCTTGCTAAAAGATTCAGTAACGTGTGAAAAGGTATTTCTGGACAAATTTGAATCTCCAGGTTAAGAGCCCAGGCCAAGCACGTTCTTAGTTATCTACAGGCCCCCCATGTTTAAAACAAAGGTTTTTGGTAATTCTAATAGTTTTTTCTGTAATATATGTCAAATATGACTGCTAAATTGTTGTTGGACACTTCAACATTCACATTGACAATCCTGACAACAGAAGTGCAATTGAACTATGTGATACTCCTAGAAACTTTAGTTTAACTCATCTTGTTAAACAGCAAACCCACAAACAGGGGCATATTTTTAGCTATATCACCAGTGAGGGTGTAAACATTTCTAAAGTGTATGTACAGGATGTTTCCCTATCCTACCACTTTTGGTCAGAGACTGAAACTGATTTTTTCAACCTTTTTGAAAAAATCAGAATTTTTCACCTTAAAGACATTTGGAGTGCATGCATTTAAAAAATGGTTAAGTGTTTTTTTTCTGGAAAAAAAGATACATCTTTTTCCAAATTTTTCCTTTATTGATAAATTCTGTTATGTTTGCTGTTGTTGTTTGATTACCATCCTAATATTCTCTGTAATTTTCTTTTTGTACTGATTGATGGTGGACTCTACTTCAATATCTCAGGTGGAATATGATATAAGGGTGAATAATTCACACAGAAAAAAATCTAATCAGTCTGAACTGATTACACTGAGGTTCCAAAGCATGAAGTTATATTTCATATGTTGCCCTGCAACTACTGTCAAATTTTAATCATAAAAACTGTGAGGCTAATTAACCATTTTTTCTCCTGCTACTCTTTCTTCACTTTCTCCTTCACAACTTGAAATGTTAAATACCTTCTCCTCATAGCTAGATGGAATGTCAGAGCTCCTCTTTGATAGTGGTATTGATTCATTTTGCATTTAAAATGTCCATTGCCTAAAGAGCCTACTGCTGCCCTCCGTGTTCCAGTGGTTGAATACGCAATTTTTGGGTGTATTGTTATCCCCGACTATGAACCTTATAACAGGAAAGAAGGCTCATCCAAATATCTTTGTGTAAGAGGGTTGAACATTATCTTTTATGTTATGTTTTCTTCCTGTTTAGAACAATTAATTGAGCAACTTTGTCCAACTCGTAACACCAGCCTGATTTAGGGATGTTATCCCTCTCATGAGGCCAACATGACCATGAGGCCAACAAGACCATGAGGCCAATGCTCTAAAGATTATTATGTTCAGAAAAATATACCCACCATGACGCACCCAGAGCCTAGATATGTTTGTTAACATAATTATAAGCCTTTGTAATCTTCTCAAAGATATTTCCGTGCATGCTTGAAACAACAAATCAAATGGGACATTTTATCACTTGAAAGGAGAGTTCAATGCACGTTTAATGAACCATGGGGCAAAATCCAAATTCTAGGAAAGCATTGATTATAATGCTTGATACTTGACCATGTCTTTCAGTGTGTCCATGGATGTGGGATAACTTAACCTGCTGGCAGGCTGCTGATGTTGGAGAAGTTGTGACGGTCAAATGTCCCGAACTCTTTCATGACTTCATGACCCCTGAAGATGGTAGGTAGCCTGATAATCTAATATAACCCTTCCTAAATTCCAAAGTAGGATTTTTTTTCAGCTTTCTTAAGGCATAAAAAACACGGCTTTAAATTTCAGAAATCGGGAGGGTGAATCGGAACTGTACAGAAAATGGCTGGTCAGAACCTTATCCTCACTATGTGGATATCTGCTTTCTTTACGAAAATGGAACACAAAAGCCTGTATGTAGCTTTTTATCTTGTGTACATAATTAAAACATTGTTTATAATCCCGTCATGAACACTAATTGTTGTTCTCAATCATCAGGACCCATATTTTGAATCTGTCAAAGCCCTTTATACAGTCGGGTACAGCACATCACTGGTCTCTCTAACAACAGCCATGGTCATTCTCTGCAGATTCAGGTGAGTTTTGAAACAAAATAACTAAATACAGAGAGATTAAATCTTTGTTTTTAGCTCTCTCTATACAGTCGTTAATTTCTGCTGATACAATGATAAACTTAAATCAAGCGCTGCAGGGTGTCTGTTCCACAAGACACATTTAATCTCAGTGGGACTCCCTAAATAAACTAATTAAAAGGCTTCATCTAAGCAATTCAATTTAGTGGTATGTGTTTCTTGTCTATTATAAAAGAGCAGCAATATGTTCTTTCGGTGGAAGACAGAATAGTCACTAAGGAGTCAAATACTGGTGTTGCTTCTGAATTATATTAAGCTAAAATCCAATATTTTTACAGCCATTATAATCAGTAGTAAATGTTTGAATTCAGAGCTGAATCTAAATGATTGGTCAGTGGTACTAATTCATTGCATTTAAATTATGGTTGGTTTTTTTTGCCTTTGCTGTCGACTGGCAATTTCTAACAAGCATTAACTGTATGTATAAAGTCACTTCCCTCACACGTGGGGGAAACATGGACGAAATTTTGATTTCAGAAGTAGGGGAAAGCAAGTCTGCAGTCAGCACTGTCACGAACCAATCACAGACCTGATTCAGTGGTGCATCAGATGTTTGTAAAGCGAGTTTCTCAGGAGTGACAGCGCTGATTTATGATCAGGCAATTGTTTCCACTCCACACCACAAAGCCTGTTAACTAGCCTCTTGTACTCAGCTTCTTGTCCATCTTTGATGCACCTGACTACAGAGTCAGCTGAGTGTTTCTGCTTATGACAGGAGCCTGTCTTGCACTGGAAGTTGGAGATGTATCTTTCCCCTGCATAATATGTTTTGCCTTTGTAGTCATTGGTGTGAAACAAATTAAATGAGATAATTTCTTAGATAAAAGGAAATTGTGTATTTCAAACAGGTGAATGAAAAAAGTAAATGATAACACAGCATAATGAAATAATAAAATCATAATACCACCAAGTTGAAAAATAAAATTACTAATATTATCTTTTTCTCTAACATTATTCTGTGAGTTTATAATTAACCATATGCACAGCTTTCCATATTTTCTTTTATTGTATTGTCATTATTATTATTGTTGTTATTATCATTATTCATTTATATTTGTGCTTTTGTATATATTAATGCCTATGCTAAGCTTTGTTTTGTTACACAGTTTTCCACTCTCCATGGATATCTGGATATGTAGCTACTGACAACACACAAATAGGAGGTTGCAGGAGGTTGCATCCCTATAAGTTTTACTGCAAAGAGTGAAAAGCTTTGGTTGCTAAAAACCCAAAATGTAATCAACTGGTAGCAGAGTCCTCCCATAGTACAGTTTCCTTCTCCTGAGTCCAGGGAAATTATTTAATTATTATTATTTTAGAATGTGCTACGTCATACAAAAGATTAGTAAAAAAGTTGATATAATGACACAATAAGTAAAGCAATAGCTTAGACTCATGGTAATTTGTACTCTAACCTGTACAACTACTAGGTTACTATTATTGCAATAAACAACAAAGCTTGCTCGATTTCAAACACATATGAAGGGGAAAACTTTTGAATTATGGTTTTATAAATAGAACCCATTCTTTCAGCTCAAAGGATCATAAAATGTGCATTATTTCACTGTGCTCGCTATCTCTCTGCAGGAAGCTGCACTGCACCAGAAACTTCATTCACATGAACCTGTTTGTGTCCTTCATCTTGAGAGCCATCTCCGTCTTCATTAAGGACGGCGTGCTGTACGCTCAGGAAGAAAGTGACCACTGCTTTGTGCATACAGTCAGTTACCACTGTTGATTATCATATATCCTGGGTGGGCTTTTAGTGACAAGAATGTGGGTGTGTGTGTCTGGGGTTTTCACTAGAAGAAAAGGAAAATCAGCTGTCCTTGCTTAGCTATTAATGAGAATTTAATTCCAAATTGCAAGGTTAATTACCTTATTTACATCAATCTGAAGCAGATAATTACATAACAGGATTTTTATTGTTTTAAGTAGTCCCTTCTCAGACTGCACATTTGCTGCCAGAAATGAGTGAAGGGAGTTTTGATGTCGATGAATACTTTTCCAAGTCCGATAAAATAATTGAACTAAAATCCACCGTAAGATCAAATATATATAACTAAATCATTAGGGTCGTTACAAACATATTCTGCTGTTTTTCCTGGCCTTTGCATTTTTAAGGAACCTTAACCAAAAATAACTCATTGTGCCTATTTTCATAAGAAGGCACGATAAGTAAACCTAATTAATGAGGATGTATAATGGATTTGGGAAGGCCAACTGAATTTTACAGCAGACCATAACCAAATGGATGCCTGTTGTTATCTTTTCTTTAAATGTTCCCCTTTACCTCTGTTGCCATAGTGATTGTGAGGTCGTCATCACGGGGAGAATTTGAATTAGATCACTGCTGTAATTGTGTGACCCCACTCTAAATATGAACACCATTCATTAACAAGGGGTCACTAGACTGCACTTCACCTGACATTAAGGGGGGGTCATTTCTCCTGGTAGTACATTCAGTACATGCAACATTTAAGAGGAATTAGAGGTAATTACTAATCATTGATGACTGGACTGACCACATCTGTTTATACAGTAATTATTATGAATCCAGACATGTTAGTTTAGCATTTGGAGTAATCAGAGTAATAAAAAAAAAACATAATTTAAAGCAGAATTTAAAAAAAAAATTTCACAGTTTAGTACTATCTCAGCCTTTACTTCCTCTTCCTGGAGCACCTCCTCTTCTTGCATCAAATTAACCCCCTGCTGAATGTAAAGTTAAACTGGAGTAAGATGTTAATAAAGAAGCAGATCAGGAATTTAGCCAAATTCTGGATGCAAACGCATTTATTCCTCTTGAACTTTTACGCATTTTGCTTCTTTCCAGCCAAATCTTCAATGTAATTTGTATTATGGGAATCAATAAATATAACTTCTTGCTTTTTTGTTAAGCAGGAGAATTAGTCATGCTTTTCCAATGTTTTTTAGTTTTTATAATGACCTGAAAATCCTGTGATGCCTCGGTATTTAGCCTCATTTGACCATATATGGTAGATCCCCAAAGACGTTCCAATGCAACTAACTGCCCTCGGAAATTACCTTATTAGTCATTTGAGTTCACATGAGCATAATCTTAATATAATACCTATGTTCTTTGTGTAGCCTCAGATGTTTTAGAGAGAAAAGAGAAAAAAGAAAAATATGTTGTTAGACAACACTGTTTAAAAAAAACAAAAAGTAAAAAACATAGACAATGGTCAGAGCGATCATTCTGCAGGAACAAGGAAAGTTATTAAGGCTAATATGAAGGTAGATGGGTTGAGTTAAATACAGCTTATTCCGAAAAAAAAACTTGCTACAAACTGCATGACTTTAAGGGAAGAAATGCCTTCAACAGGATAATGAACCTAATCGCAGCCAGAGCTAAAATAGGGGGTTAAGAAGAAGTACATTTGTAATGTAATGGCCCAGTCAACGTCCAGACCTATTTCATTCTGTGGATCCGTAGCAATTCTTTACAATCATTTCTTCATGCAAAGACTTTCAAATCTAAGCAAAATGAAATAGGATTATATGGTGATAATATATTAGAAGTTATACTCATGCCGTAAACATCAAACAGTAAAATATGATGAATGAAGAGTTTGGAAAAGAGAAATGAGAATTAAAAGCAGCAGGTTCTCACACCAGAAAACAGCCTTGGATAAACTGATTAGACACACCTTACTCTTGGTCTTAGCCATGCTGTGTCACCTCTTAATGAGGTCAATAGATTAGTAGATCTCACGACCTGTTGCTCTGAACCTCTCGTTTCCCTGCTCAGTCGAGGGGAAAACCTATCCCTATCTCTCTCTCTCTCTCTCTCTCTCTCTCTCTCTCTCTCTCTCTCTCTCTCTCTCTCTTAATCTGTCTGACTCAGCATTCAGAAAACTCTTAGCAGTACTATTCTGTGACATCCTCAGGGCCTGTGCACAAGGGCATGCCTGAAAAATCTTATTTATTAATTGCCAAGAATATAGATGCAATTAAAAAGCTCACATTGCAGATATAAAATAGAATAAGACATAGAATCTACTACAGTGTACATCTTACTGCTAAAGGTCATTGATAATCATTGCAGTGTGACGGACAAGAATGGATTTAGCCTAAGATTGAACAACTGAGCATGAATTATACATTCAGGTTATCCCTAAAGCTGACTAAATTGTAAATGACCATAGATTTGTGATATTTTTGCACGTTGGCATTTATTTTAATGTGAGCTTGCCGCTAAATTGAAACTCAAACAACCAAAGAATTCTGCACTTAAACCTTCCCTCTGAGGTCCTGAAGCATTGATCTGAAACATCAGGTTTCTGGGTTATATAGGTAATCCTGGTGAAGGGTTAATGCAAGGATGGGAATTAGTTATTCTAATTAACTACTTATTTTTGCCCACAAATACTGTTTAAACTGGGTAGGAAGTCAAAGGGGTAAAGCAGCAGGTCTAGATAAAGATTTGATGTCTGTTTCCAAATAATCTGCACAAATCACAGTTTAAACAGAATGTGTTTTTCAGCCTGCTACTCTTAGAGCCCTGCTCCTGTGTTTCCTCATTCAGGTGGCGTGTAAAGCAGTTATGATTTTCTTCCATTATTGCGTGATGTCCAACTATTTCTGGCTGTTCATCGAAGGCCTGTATCTCTTTACTCTGCTGGTTGAGACTTTCTTCCCTGAAAGACGCTATTTCTACTGGTACACCATTGTAGGCTGGGGTAAGCAGCACTTTCTTTTTTAAATAGAAAGATGAATGAAAATATTTTCCAGTGGTTTAATCTGTGTTTGTTATGCTTAATCACTTCTTGTTATTGAGAGCAGGAACTCCTACTATTTGTGTTACTGTCTGGGCTGTTCTGAGGCTTCATTTCCATGACACGGGGTATGTAACACATTTTTCTGTGTCTGTTCATATGTGTGTACATAAGTACCTACATGCAGTTTGCAACCATTGCTTTATGATTGGATGCTCTCACATATTAGTGAGAAGGCTTCTCCCATAGGAATATTTTTCTTTCAATGAGACATATTGAAAAAAATTATGAGCTGAGCACAGAATCAGTATATCCAATCACTGGGGAGTTGGCTTCTCTTGTGTAATGTTCAATGAAGGCACCAGAATTGTAATCTCCATATGAAATTCATGGAAAATAATTTTTCAAGCATTTCTTTTTTTGGCACCAGATCACCTTGAAGTGACATAAGCATGACAACTACAATACAGTATTTATATCTAGACTAATAAAGACAGACTCTTTCAAAAACAGCCTGAGACAATGTGTGTCTTTCCTAAAGTACCACTCGTTAGATTTCTTTTTGCAAATTCCCTATGTTCATAGAATACAGGGTGAATATGCACTGGTAAATTTAGGCACATTTCTAGTTGATGACAATCATCTGTGAACTGAATTGGAATGATGTTAAAGGGAGTTTCAGTGCCCATTTCATTGAAATGCTGGTCATCCTCTACAGATGCTGGGATACGAATGAGCATACTGCCCTCTGGTGGGTGATCAAAGGACCCATTGTGGCTTCAATAATGGTAGGTTCACTATTTCCTAAATAAATGAACTACAATTAACAAATTTGATAAATTTGGCTAATATTTTTTTCAATGAATCAACATGATATTGAAGGAATTTGATGCCTGACTGTGTAAAACATTAAGAATCAGTAAAGACTAGCAGTTGATTACAAATAACATTTTCCAGCGTTTTATTATCATTACACTGTCACTAGTACAGAGCAATGAAATGATCACACTGCATTTAACCCATTCACTTGGGGAGCAGTGGCCTGCCATTGTGCTACACACGAGGAGCAGTGTGGGGTTAAGCGCCTTGCTCAGGGACCCAGAGTGGCAGTCCGTGGGAGTGGGGCTTAAATTCAGAACCTCAGGATTCCAAGCGCGATGCCCTAACCACGAGGCTGCCACTCCCCAAAGCAGGCATTAATGTGAAGGGTCTTGCCTAAGGGCCCACACTAGCAACCCCCCCAATATATATATATATATATATTGTAAAATTATATTTATAGAATATTTATACTGACATTATCTGTGTGCATATATATATATATTTTTTTTTTTGGCAGATTAATTTTGTCCTCTTCGTTGGAATTATCATTATCTTGGTGCAAAAGCTGCAGTCCCCTGACATTGGAGGAAATGAGTCCAGCATTTATCTGTAAGTTGCATTAAACAAATTACATTAGAAACTATATGCTTATAGTAGTCAAATATTTAAGCAATCATTTTAAGATGTATTTTTGATGGCTTTTTTGTATTATACTCCCATGTATTTTTGATAAAGTGATACATTTATTAACTTGTTTTTGTTTTTTTGTTTGTTTGTTTTAATTAAAAAAACCCTGGATAAATTAGGATTTTAATATGTTTTATGTCTTAAAAACACACTAGTGAGTCATACTGATGTCCTAAGGCACAAATATTGGGCAGTGTTTTTTTTTTTTTTTCTCAAAAGTTGTATTTTTATATTATTAAATATAAATTATGTTGTGTAAGATATTGGTGGACAATCCTACAGTTGTGCTTGAAAGTTTACATACCCTCCATTAAAGAAAGAAAAAACAACAACCCTTTGAGGCAATCACTGAAATCAGCTCTTTTCTGTAATGTTCCATCAGACTTATCCCCCTATTGACAAGTTTTTTAATTTTTTTTAATAAAAATTCTAAATCTATATTTTATTTAATTTAATAAGTTTGTATTCATGTAACTTTTTTCAGTTTTGTGTTTGAATTTCTAATGTGAATTTATCATTTTCTTTAATGGGAGGCTATGTATACTTTCAAGCACAACTGTACTTCAATAATTAGTGCAATACAGAATAAAAAACAACCATCTTCTTGACGCAGCTAAGTATTAAACTGTCTTATAACTTGTTGTGTCCACCTTTCTTTTGCACTCACATGTACTACCTGTTGCCAAGAAGCCTGAGGCTTTTTGTGATGTTGTAGTTTAGTCAGACATCACTCCTGGTCAGCTCCCACAGGACTGTGTATTTTAAAGCTCTGCTGATAATGCCATTCTCGTCTGCTGCTTGGATCCAGGCGTGCGTGTCAGACTGTGAAGATGAGTGCTCGTGTGCGAGACTGCATCCCTAAAGACATTGTCTTTGTTGTATTGTGTGTTGTCTTTGTGCTGTATAGCAGCTGTGCTCAGAAATGCTTCAGTGAGCCCACACAGGCTGTTCAGCATTCGTGCAGGATGTCAGAGTTATCCACCATCACACTGTAAGTGTGAGTGTGTATGTGTGTGAGTGGCTTCTTTATGTTGACTGCATGTATGTATATATGTTTGTTTGTATTTGTTTTATGCCTGGAATTAAAAAATATATATATCATAAATTTTAACAAACAAAATTTAAAAGGAAATTCAAATTAGTGATTGAGAATTCCAAGTGAAATGTATGTGTTTTTGTTTGTTTTCTTTAATTTTGGTTTGGAAATTTTAGAATATTTTCATCTAAATTCTTTTTGTAAATTTTGATTGCAGGAGAAAAATCTAATAAGATGAGAATTAGAATTAGATAAGATGGTTGCAGAAGACGGTTTGCAGTTTCTGAAACAGGAAAATCATTTTTCACTTTAGACTGAGAAGCAATAACAAACAATAACGCATTAATCCATTTATTTAAGAGCTGATTTTAGACTTATATATAAGATAATTTTATGAAGTTCTTTTTAAGCTACATGTTTTGTACATATTAGGTTAGACTTGTTCACCGCAGTTGGGAAGAATATGTAATAGAATAAAAAGAGGTGTTTTCATTTAGGTTTGAAATCTATTTCAGCCTTTTTGAGGAGGAGCCAAAGTATAAAAGAAATGTATATAAAATGAAATGTCTGTTTAGCTCATAAAAACATAAAATGATTAGGACCGATATTCCTCTTTATTCATTTTTTTTCTTTTTTTGTGCCATAGATTTCAGATATAGTGCTTATTAATTCAACTCAGTTCATTTATATAGCGCCAATTCACAATACATGTCATCTCAATCTCACTTTACAGTTCACCAGATCATACAGTTAAATTGATTCAAATGTTTCCAGAAAATTAAATTAAATTAAAACTGGGCCAAGTTGTGAACCAGTTCAGATAAAAGGCCAGCTTCCACCATTTTACTTTTTTTGGAAGGTTTTCCCCTAACTAAGCTCCATGAATCTCTATCCACTCCAACCTGCTTCCCTGTCAATATTGAGGAAAAGCAAAAAGCAACACAAGTTTCTCAATGGTAATTAGTCTGTTGAATATTGTTATAATATGGTTAATTCATAAGTTCCAAAGTGAAATAAATAGAACTGGATAAATTACACCATCGAATAAATACAATAGAATTACATTTAAAAACAGTTTTAAACCAGAGGGGATTTGTTTAACTGATTGGAATTTGTCATACTAGTTTGACTGTAGAATTTTATGTTAGCAAGGTTGTTGTTGTTTTTTTCTTGTAATGAAAAGTGAAGAAGAAAGCTCTAAAAAGGTAGTTCTATGTGAATGTTATGGATTAGATGCAGTGCCACCAAAGGAAGTTTGATATCAGAAGCAGACATACTTTAATAATCCCAGAGGGAAATTACTAAATAATCCCAGAGGGAAATTACTTTATGTGGACAATATGCTCAGCTGCCAAGGGCTGCAATAAAAAGGGAGCCAAAACGATTTGCTTTGATTTATAAATAAAAAAAAGAGTACATTCTAAATAATACATCTAGAGTTAACATGTAGAACATAAATTTTGCTTATACATTTTATTTATTTATTTATTTTGGTTCAATTTGTCTGTCAGCTTCTAGATTTCACCACTGTGGCATGTTGTAAATTAGTTTAAACTTTAAATTGTTAGAATCACTTGACCATAAAATTGAACATGTTGGACAGAAAGATTACTTTAGTTGTAATTTTAAATAAACCACTGGGCTGTCAATAAATGTGTAAAAGACACATTTACTGGTTTAATCTGGATGCTTCCTTTTGAATAGCTCTTGGCTTTCTACCTAAATCTTCTAAATTTACTTATTTGAAAAGTCCTGTTTGCTTTCTAGTGCTCTAAAATTGGTGTGTATTAAATGAACACATCCCCATAGCTTAAGGTGTCTCCTCGATATTTGAGGATGAACATGTATTTGGCTAAGAGTTACTTTATTCGTTGATTGATATTTTGGGTTTTAAGACCCAGATCAACTGATGAAAATATTTGCACAGCTGTGTCTTTATTGTATTTGTGTACTTGTTGTCTGTTTGTTTTCATTTTTTGTCTTTTGTATTTCCATCAGTCATAGTGTAAGTGTAGCTGGGTTTTTAATGCATACCACAAAGATAAAGGCCTGAAAATGTATTAAATAAAGAAACATGCTTTAAGAAAAGTAAAATAACTCTATATTCTTATTGCCAACAAATATGCCATATTTTCTAGTACACTATTAAACAGGTAAGAAAAGGATTTAAGAAATTTGTTTTCATCGTGAACAATTTAAGAAAAAGCAATACTTAAGTAAGAATGAATCACTTATACATTTTTGAGATTTATTAGAAAATAACATCATTGTTCACTGATCTATACCTTTTAGATAAAAAAAACAAGTTTATACATATTTTTAGGGGATTTATTGACAATAAGAAATAATTGCATATGATCATTAGAGATTATAAGAGACAGTAATAATTGTGAAATCTATTCCATTAAGATATACTTTAATCAATTTGAAATTATGGCTTTAATTTATGGCATGTCACACTGCATCAGTATACGACGTATTTGTCTCATCTGAGTCTGAACAACAGCAATAAATTCACTTTAAGTAGATTTTTTGTGGATATTAAAAAGTTTAAATAATGACATTTTGTTGGTGTGTGTGTGTTTAGTCGTCTAGCACGCTCCACTCTTCTTCTCATCCCCCTGTTTGGGATTCACTACACTGTGTTCGCCTTCTCGCCTGAGGATGTGAGCAAGAGGGAGCGGCTGGTCTTTGAATTGGGTCTTGGATCCTTCCAGGTTTGTTTTCTCCTCTTTCCAAAACATAAGGTTCAAGTGACAGCAGTCCAATAATGAATTAAAGTATTTACTCTTAAACAGTTTTTAACCATAGTTTAGTTAGAAACCACATTTTAATCTGTGTTGTAAACAACGACAAACATTTGTATTCTTTTTAGAATTTTCTTTGCAAACTAATTGTAGAATAGCCTCAAACCCATTTTTTTTTTTCCTAGATGTCATATTTAACAGTCAGTTATGACAGTTAAATATTAGCAAATGTTTTAACATTTATCCATGTAGTGTTACGCTGTTGTAATTTGTAATTTTCATGTTTCTTCTCAGGGCTTTGTGGTAGCTGTTCTCTATTGTTTCCTTAATGGAGAGGTAAGCTGTTATAAAGTCTTTCTCAACTTCTATCTCATTCTCTTTTTTATATCTATCTTTATATAAAACCCTATTTTCTGTTAATGCTTTGTAAGACTGATCTCCACAGACTTAAATGCAAATAATTCAACTATTTTTTTAACCACACACACAATAACATACTCATTCTCATATTTTATATCTGTAGTCAGGACCATGTGTTTACTCCTATTGACTTTCATTGATTTTTCAGGCATTTTCAACCCTTTCTATGCCCTAACCCTAAAACTGATCCTAACCATTACATGTGCATACCTCACCCAAACCTTAACCCAATGCCTCCTTAGCCCCTAAACTTAGCTTAACATTAGCAAAATAGCTTGAGAGGACCAGCAAAAATGTTCTCTCTTTGTAAAACTGTCACCAAGGAATTTTTTTATGAAAGTTCAAAATCAACATTTTATTTTACTAAATTATTATTTAGTCAATATTATAATGTCAGTTTTGTGTTATTTGAATTACTAGTGTGAAATTATAATTTTCTTTAATGGGAGGGTATGTAAGACTAGTTGTTGGAAGAGCTGGAAAAGTTGGGAGTTTTTAACGTTTCATTTCAAATGCAAAATATATAAATTATATATATATATATATATATATATATATATATATATATATATATATATATATATATATATATATATATATATATATGTGTGTGTGTGTCTAATGTGTGGCCATGTCTTTAATACCTGGTGGGGACAATTTCCTAGGAATATGCTACATTTTGGGGACTCATAGGTACCTGTGGGGACCAACAACTGGTCCCCATAAGGAAAGTTTCTCTTCTTGGGGTGGGGGTTAGGTTTAGGACTAAGGTGTGAATTGAGTTTAGGTTAGGTTTAGGGATAGGTATGTGTCGGTAATGGTTTGGGTTAGGGCAAGGGTCATGGTTATGCCATATAAATTAGTGGGAAATGAATGGAAGTCAATGGAAGGTCCCCACAAGGATATTGTGACACAACATGTGTGTGTGTGTGTGTGTGTGTGTGTGTGTGTGTGTGTGTGTGTGTGTGTGTGTGTGTGTGTGTGTGTGTGTGTGTGTGTGTGTGTGTGTGTGTGTGTGTGTGTGTGTGTTTGTGTGTGTTATACTGTCAAAGAGAAGCCCCTGTACACTGAGAAGGTGAAAAGCCAGAGTAGTAACCACAAAACATGCTTAAACAGGGGCAACTGGACTTCCACGAAAATCATTCTTCTGTTTCAATTTTTCCCATTTTGTTGTTGCCATTACCTTGATGGCTGAAGATTTACACAGGCATCAATAGTAGTAACAGTAGTAACCAATATGTAATCGTCATGTAAGAGAATCTTATGGTAATGTTTGCATATAGTCTTAAAGGAGGTTTGCACCAAATCAGTTCTAATCTGTCAGGAAATGGGCCTAAAAGCAGAAAATAAACCACAGGTGCTGGACTAAGTACTAATATAGGACTAATAAACAGAACAAAGTAAAACATTAAAAGTATGCCTGATTACTGATAAACAGGCTGTTGCGGAACTGCAGTCATCTGTGCCCAAGCAGGAAACCTCTAAAATCTGCAGGTCCTTCATGGCCGATTTTGGGGACGCCTGATCAAAAAAGAGAGAAATAATTTCAGAAAGTCTTTAGACATATTGATTTTTTTACAGATAAGAAAAAGGGATGTTAGTACATAATTTCAGTTCTAACATATAAAACTTTCTTAAGTTTTTTTTATTGTATAGCAACTTGATATTTTATATAAAACTTAGTTTGTCACGTATTTTAAACAGAATAACTTTTAATGCACTTGCTGCAAAGTCGTCAGCTCCCTGGAAATAGAAAAACTGGAATAAATCATTTTAAAACCTTTTGTATGTAGTCTGTGTTACCATTAACATCTTAACCTTCCATCAAAAAAGCTAATTACTGCCTTTTAATAGATTTAGATCCTATTTTACCCTCAGTACTTTCCCAAAAACAGTGTACCTTTGTTGGAGCTGGTACAGCTTAAAGTACATTAAAAATGACCTTGTGAAGTTTCTCCCTGAAGGTGCAGTCAGAGATCAAGAGGAAATGGCGCAGTTGGACGGTGAACCGGTACTTTGCTGTGGACCTGAAGCAGCAGAGGCACCCTTCGTTAGCCAGCAGTGGGGTGAATGGCGGAACTCAGCTGTCGATCCTCAGCAAGAGCAGCTCGCAGATACGTATGTCCAGCCCACTGGCGGAGAACGCCAACATCAGCCTGCCGACCTGAACGTCTGATTGTCCAGAGTCAACTTCAAGGTGCCGTTCCACTTACAGTAGACCAACCAGAGCAGACCAAAGTGGCCCCTTGCAACCCTTATATTTTCTATTTTATAAAAATGAAAATGGTCAATGAAGATAAAAACCATTTTACTAGAGATTTTTATTTGGGTATATAAGAATTACAAATACTGGAGGTGGTATTTTTTTTTTATTATTGCAGCACCTTATCATTTTAGATAAATCTAATTCAATTCCAATTCCCTATAAGCAAGATACTCTTAGAAATACATACAGAGGGATTGTGCAAAAGAAATACACTAATTAAACGGTGATGCTTTAATGTTAAATGTTTGAGGGTCAAGTTTGATCTGTTTGTGTAACCTAAATGTGCTTCAAAGTGCCATACAGTTCGCCCGACTCGATATCACTACAGTCCAAAGTTAAAAGACAACCAAAAGCTCGCCTTGCTTGTAGAAAATGCTCAACGTTTATATGTACATGTTTCACCTTGAATTTAAACATGTTTCTACAATCAGCCGTAAGTACAGAGTATGTCAAAAATAGAAAATACACATATATATATATATAGCTTATGGGTTGTGTGTAAATAATTACTTTTAGTGTCTAGATTAGATCTCTTTAGCATAGCAGTGTTTGGTAAAAACCTTTTCAAATAAAAGGAACTGGAGCCCAAATCTGTAGACTCCATCGTGTATGCAGGGGAACCAGTAGATCATGCTCTCTCAATTTAAACTGTTTTCCTTTTTAAAAAGGAAAAAAGGAAAACATATAATATAAAAGATAAGAGATTAACTGCACAGTATCAATTACTGAATTTTGTACGACTTTTTGATTTGTTTTGTCCTCCCAAATGGATAATTCACATATGGGAGCGCTGGTCTTTTTGTCCTGTTTTGCATTTTGTATTCATGCAGATTTGTTCATTTCCTTAGCCTAATTTTTAACGGTACGAAATGATACTGTCTGCCACAGGACACTGTATGCTGGCCATGAATCATTTTATAGCTGCCAGGAGGATGTTGAAAACTGATGATGTCACTTAGGTTTGTACCATTTGCTTAACATCAACTCTAACATCAAAAATGTGATTATATGACTTCAATAGCTATACGTGCCGTCAGCATGCCACTTGGTTATTTGGGTTTGGCTGGAGCTCATAATCCTTTATATTTCATATCAATAACTTGGAATGGAGTGAATTACAATAGCTTCAGACAATAACGACACACAACTGAAAAGTGACATATGAGCATTTCAAAATCATTAATCTCAATTATTCATTTCAACAACATAGATATTCCTACATTTATGCTGGCTATTTACAGTACATTGGCGTGACATAATTTTTTGTATTATTTGAAAAGGAAGGAAGAAAATAGTTACAAATTCGAGATGCACCGATCCATTTTTTTCTGATACCTGGCCTGACCGTATCTGCTGATATCTGATATGATCTTATTCAGCTGTTTAACGAATGAGTATTAAATCTTGCCATGTGACTGAAGGCGTTAGCCTCGACATAAACATTTATAAAAAAAGGTAATTAACACAGATATGAATGTACTTTATATTGTTTATTGACAAATAAGTAGAAAAAAGAAAGAAATAACCGTTCTTTGTAAAGTGGATTGGATTGGATATCTGATATCCAATATCAATCACAGATAATCGATCCAGCTAATTAGTTAATCTCGGAGACAATATCTGATCCAGGTATCGGATCACTGCATCTCTAATAAAAACTGGCAAACGGAACAACGTGAGCCATTAAACTACTCAATGGGATCTGGTTTTCTTCACCATAGATTTCAAAATTAGAATTTGTTATCTGTGAACATGAACGGTTTAAAACAGTCTAATCTTCCCAAAAATGTTGTCATCTGCCATAATTTCATAAATGCTGTTTTTATTATGGGTGTTTATACTATGTGCACACCTGGTGAGCTTACGTCCATAGTACCATCTTTACACAGCTCCTTTTTAAATTTGATTAGACACCTCATACTCCGAAGTGCCTACTCATCCAAACAGCTGTCACTTTAAATATTACTAAACATAAAGTCGAATCAAGTCACTTTAGAATATACAGTGAGAATATACAGTGTAGTGTGTTTCTTTCTGAATAGAAAGATTTTTTTAAATTTGTTTGTTTTATAAATTTAATAATCCTAAAGCTATTTGAAGTGTTAAGCCCATTTCCTTATCAAATAATATTAAAATAAAGATATAGTTTTTCATGTCTGGTTATCAGAGCTGTTTTCATCGCTCCTGCTAATTCTAAATTTTTATTTCATCACCCAACCAATTGGCTTCAAATTAGAAACATAAATGTTGTCAGTGATCAAGATAGGCTTTAATTTCTCCGCTACTGACAATCGCATTTGAGTGTTACTTTGTATAATTTTTTGTGGTCAAACCATCTAAAAAGAAATTACTGTACAAATGGAAACGGAGTTCAGTATAAACTTGAAAGGATGTACATAAGAGTGGTTTTCCCTCATGTTTTTAATTTAAATTTAAATCTTTTTCTCATACAAGTAGATTGTTAGATAAATGTATCTTTGAATTCTAATTTATTATACTGTGAAACAGATATGGATGTATATTTATTTTCCATTGATCATGTGCAATGTAACCTATTGACTCGTGTAGTATACAGAGCTTTTCGTCTGTAACATAGATGTCTGATTTTATTACACTAACTAATGTGGACTTAGTCAAAGTGCTATAAAGATTGTGTCCATCTGAAAAATTGGGTCTAAAATGACTTAATAAAAAACAAGATGGTAGGAGTGTGTCAAAGTATTAAGAATAGGAACTTGACCACTGCTTGAATGGGGGGTGTGATAAAAGACAACTCTGCTGCTTATGTGTTTCTGTCACCAGCATTCTGAGTCTGAGCCTCAGAAAGAAACGACCATGTTTTAATGCTGATACTGTCTGTGAAAAAAAGACCATACCTGTGCTGTGCATTTGTGTACCACTAGATGGAAGCAAAACTTTATAATAGAAGAGAAGTATAAATGGAGGAGGTTTTTATTTATTATTGTGGGCTTTGTATTATGAATTTGCAGGAAAAATACGAGTAGAAAGAGGGAATCTCTATACTCAGCTACTATACTTGTATAATTAATGACACAAATGCTTGTTTACTGTTTTACATACATTACTAGACAAGCCATATAAACCGTATCCAAGCTTAATTTGAAATTGACATGTTTGTTATTGTATAAATACACATCTCAGTCTCTTAATTAAAACAAAATCGTTATTTAAGATAATTACGGCTATATTTAATATGATTCTTGGGCTTTTCAGTCAAGTTGGATACTTAATTTATCATACCATGAATATTGTTCTTTCTTTTAAATGTTGGCAACTTGTAAAAAAAAAAAAAAGAAAACAGAAAATAATCCTACACGTTATTATAAAGATAATACCAAACTGTCTTTGACATCATATTTTAACATTATATTTTAAGATCATTCAGGTGACATCTTGGCCATGTTCACCCTGCAGGCAAATGTGAAATATGATCTTTCGGCACAGACCTGACACATCTGATTTTTTTCATGTTAGTCCGAACCCCTTAAGTGTGCCACCCCATATGTGGTTTTCAACTGGTTTGACTGTTTTTAAAGCATATGGAGTCTGAACAGTCATATTGAATTTCTTCTTACTTCAAAATCATTATTTTGGCTTCCACTACACACCAAAACAGACCTGCATCACCTCTCTTCATCTTAATAATTGTCATAATAGAGAAACCAACATTTGTTATGACTTTTGTAAACAGAGCGCTCTTATGGGTCTGCAATCTGCACATGCGGGTGGCTTTGGGGTTATGAATAGTGTTGCGCCGATGCCATTTTTTGGCCCCGATACCTGGCTGTGCAGTATCGGCCGATACCATAATAATGTAAAATAATCGCCATCATGGCTTTGTCAAGCTGCTGCCTATCTTTATGAAGCAGGAAAAAATTTAATACAAAGTGAATCCAGTAGAACTTTTTATTGCCTACCAGGAGTGGGTGACAAAAGTTGAATAAACTTATGGTTATAAAAATGGTATCGGTGCCCTATTTGTTGGTACTCGCCGATACCTATACCACCATTTTAGGGCAGTATTGGGGCCCCGTCCGATACTGGTATCGGTATCGGTGCAACACTAGTTATGAATCCCTCAGACCAATGTCTGACGGTAGTCGCAATAAAACATAGTGTGACCTACCATGGAAGAACTAAACCTTACCGGGCCCATGGCCTATCAGTAAACAGCAGTCTATTTATGTTACATTTTAGCCCTGGTCAAGGTGAACTGTTGCCAAGCTGTACCAAGAAAGCACCATGTTTAAAAATTCAATAACAGAAACTAAATTGAGGAGTCAGCCAGCATAGATCCAAGTGACAATATCTTTGAGTTGTACATCGCTGATTGGGTTTAGAAAGGGGGATGTGATGACTTATGGTTTATATTGGCTTTAAGATTTAAAAGCATTAACAAAAAGGAAATCTTTTAGCTAAAGGGTTTAGTTAGTAATTCCAGCTTGAAACGTTGAATTAACACGAAAAATGTTATATTAACCTAGATGAGATGTGGTAGTATATATATTTATTGCTGGACAATACTTTAGTTTGAATTTCATAGCAATACTTTCTAACGTATAGATGCAGCTTGTAGCTATACTGGCCTAATTTACCTTTTTATAACTATAGCCAGACAAGACAATTGTTTTAGCTATAGTAGTCACTAGGTAATAGATAAGTGATTATATTTGAAGCAGTTTGGGTACAGTTTACAAGTTTTACAAAATTCCCTTTTTATTTCATAGATGACAATTTATCTTAGTGTAATGCAGAATGAATCATACTCACCTTTTTAGAAGAGTTAACATCAATCATCCACATCCCGACTAAAAATAAAGGCTTAATTTGGGGTGACTAAAAAGCCAGAGTTGTAAAAGTAAAATCACCATCAGCCGAGATCTCCTTTATAAAGACATTTTCAAAATAAGTAGGCCGTTTATTTAACAGAGCGGGTTGCTTAATTAATCTAATTAGCTTCAGTAATTGATTACCACCTGATTCTTACTGAAAGGATATGAACGACTGTAATTGCAGAATTGTCCAGACTCTTGTTTGAACTGTATTTTGTGATGCATCTGTGCGTACATGCAGTTTCTTCAACTGTTGTGGCTTGCTGAGCCAGTTTGGTTAAGTCATGTGTGTGTGAGTTCTACCGATTGTCAATGAATTTTTGAATGTAGTTATTGCTTCTCAGCTGCTCTTAGATGTTTCTTGCTATCACTTTGCTCTGGTGTACAAATGATGCCTTTTCTCTATCATAAATAGCGTATATTTTTGCCATACGGGTGGATTTCTTGACTAAAATCTACAATGTTTGTGACAGTGTTTTTGTAAAGTTGTTTATGGTCCAGTTTTTGGAGTGTATGTGAATGACTGGAAAAGAGATAGAATGTATTCTGTAAGCATGTAAACGTAATGCCAAGCATTCAAAAGAATAAAAACTTAGATGTTGAAAAGTAATGTACACATTTTCATCAACTTGTGTTCAACCTGTAATATTGAGTCATGTATAAGTGTTCTGATGTCCAACATCCACGTCTACTGGTGTTAACTAACTGCAAAATAAATTTGTGGTACGTTGTTGTACTTTCCAATGACTGACATTTTTTTTTTTTTTTTCAGTTTAGAGTGAAACTAAAAACGGCTTTTATAAATGAATCATTAAATGCATGATCTAAGGGACAAAACAATAGCTTAAACTCCATCCTCCATGTTTTTAAAATATTGGAGTGAGTATGCAGTCAAAAATATAACAGCTAACAATAAATGTAACGTATGAGATGTGGGTTTCTATTTTTTCATATTTGGACAGACCTAAAGAAAGCATGTTTTATGTTTATGAATGAAGGAATTACAAATACACAACTTTCTTTATTAGACTATGTAAACAGTATAGAATGATTTGATTTTTTAACAAATCCCAATATAAGGTGCTCTATAATACAGTTACTTTTAAAGTTGCCCTTTCTTGGTTTTTCACAACTGTGGTGAAACATCAGATCATTATTGGAATTTGTCTACTTTAATTAGTGACCTGTCGATTAGAGCCTAAATAACCTGACTTTAACACATTCTTGATTGTATAACTTATCAAAGGAAAAAGCTTAATTTCTGCAATTTTCTGAATCTGTGACGGGTGAGAAAATGAAATTTAGGGAAAGAGAGAGGGCTAAGAAGAAAAAAATTGGAGGTTGGAATTTTTTACAGTAATAGGCTGGTTTTTATTTCATTTTTTTCTGCATCAACAGAGATGTGCTCTAAAAATGCTGTAGGTCATCAATGACATAATTCATATTTTATCTGTGCCACAGTAAAATAACCTTTGTTGGGACAACAAATTTTTATATGCTATTATAATCGCCTCTGCTTGCTCCTAATATTCATGATGCTCATAACAGCTTTTAGTTAAAAAAAGATTTCAATCTCTACAAATTACATATTTAAGTTTTTGAAAGGGCAGCCCACACTGAACATTGATATGTGTCACATGCTGCATGTTGATCTGTAAACTTGGTTAATATATTGCAAATTCAAATAATACTTGGGTCAACCCTTAGCAAAAAGTAGTATACTTGAAGTAAATTCTATTAAGAATACTTAAGTATAAGTTTAGAAAGTATACCGAACAATGTACTTTTAGTGTACTTGAAGTATTACTAAAGTAATACTTTTTCGAACTAAATTGAGACATTTTTAAGTTTATGAAATATAGTATAGAATAAGTACTCTAAATGCACTGCCTGATTTTAAGTATGAAATTAGTGCACTTTTAGTATACTTGAATAAACTACTTTTTGCTAAGGGAAAAATTATACAGTGTTGCGTCAAATTACAATTATTTAGACTCATTCACCTTTATTCCTTGTTTTATGACACCTCATAGAAAATAATCCAATCTGATTAAAGTTAAAATGCACAAAGTGGACATTTTATCCGACATCTCTATGGATGTATGATAAACAAAAGTAAATGAAACAACACTGTTAACCAGCTACATCATTAAAACATGTTTTGCTGCAGAAACTGCTAACATTCATCAACCCATCCAGCACCACCAGCAGAAATAGGCTGTTATATTTGGCCCAGGATCCTACATTGATGATCCATGATTGATTGTAACATGAGTGCCAAGGCTGAAACAAGTAGTTCATTGAATCGATTTCCACACCTGCTCCCCACAAATAAATGCCACATTCTGTTGCTATTGCCGTAATATTAAAATCCAGCAAAGCAGCCTCAAGAAGAACAAACTGATTAACTTTGTTTCTGGAAATTCACTTTCATGTCATAATCAACAACATACATTTGTTCTTGTTTCGTATGCTCTTATGTTGGAGCAACAGGGTCTATTGTCAGTGAAGCTGTTTTCTGCATGTAACAGCAGGATATATCACTGAAACTACAAATAATTCCTGTCCATTTCAGTCCCCCCTGGTTCTCTTCAGGATTATATTCTTTCTTTGTTGCCCAAATGTTTAAAGCCTTGCTGTGTTCTTAACATATAAGCTAAAAACAAAGTGTTTTAACCTTAAATTATGAAAATAATTCAAAATAATTCCTCATTAAGGCATTTTGGATTCACTTATTTACCAGCTCATAGTGTTCATGCTGAGATCTGACCACAAACCATTTTTAAATGTCATCTCTGCAATATTTCACTGCATTGAGAGAGGGCCTTCACCTGAAAAAGTAGTGTCAGTAACTTTTACAGAATTAATGTTTTCAAAATAACCAGAAGCAATATAAAATCTTTAATAAGAAAATGTCTGATGCCTTCTGAAACTGGTTTCAAAACTAGCTCTATCAATATGACATATCCTTACAGATTTGCCCTACTGGAGGGTTTTATTTCAGCCTTAAATGAAAACACTTTACAGTTTCTGTCAGGGAAATTTGCATTTTCACATATTTCAAATATATGTTGCCTATATACATGTTAATTGAGTATTTTGTCCAGTCTACATTTTAAAAATGTATTACCTAAGAGGTCCAAACTATGAACACCAGCATATAAAATCCTTCTGAACCCATGGACAGCTCTGTATCAGTTATTATTTCCTGTTTTGCAGTGCTACAGTGGGGTCTGTAGAAGTTATGATTTATCAATATGATAGAGCACCCTGTGACCTAGACTGACCATATACAGCCTCTGCTTAGATGAAGCATTCAGAGGTTTTACCCATTTTACCCACCAGTTAAACTTGTGCTCTTATATCTCACAAAAGAGTTAAATTAAGGTCATAATGTTCAACAGAGTGGTTTCACCTTTTAATTGCTGCTTCAAAGGAAAAAAAATTCCTGTCTAAAAGCAAAGCTCATACAGCTGAGATGTTGGCACTAGAAGGAGGCAAACCCAAGCCTCCATGGGTTCGAATCATGATCTGAGTCATGCTTCTCTTGCCAGGAGTGAGGTGATTTGGATTGTGGCACCTCCAAAGCCATTTCCGGAGCTCTGCCTGGACCTGCAGCCAGAAGGGGGAGTGTGAAAAATCTTTGTGCAATTACAAACACTTCTGTTACAAAGCAGAAAAATGACATACCTCTCCATTCATGAAGCAGTAAAGAAGGGCCACAACAAACCCCTGCAACACAGAAGAAGTACCTTCAAAATTAATCATTATCAGTAAATCGTCATTCTATAGACACACTCATTTGAAAGATAAAAGTCAATATTCTATTGTGTTACTGGCATGTATTTGTATTCTACATCGAGATAAAAGCAAGAAACTACACAAAACAAATAACTAGTGTGGTACACTGCAATCAACAGTTTTAAAAAAAACATTATGCAAATGAAATTTCTGCAGGTATGTAAACAAATCTTGGCTGCAATTTTTGCAATCTAGAATAAGATGTATGCACATTTCTCATACCAACACATATGTCTGTCTATGAATAGCTGATAGGCTTTAGCACATTTTAACAATGCAAGTTACAGTACAATGAAAAGTCACTAGTGCAGACCAGGAGGCAGAGTTGTAGTTTAACACACATCTTTGGAGTTTCTCTACTATTATCCAGCCATTACTCCATTCAGACAGTGTCTTGCCCTTGACCAAAATTTTATAGATTAGAAAAGAATCGTAAAGGAGTAAATCATGATAAACTAATTGAATTTATATTGACTCCAATCAAGGAAAAAGTTAAAAATATTTAATGTGGTTTATTTATCACAAGGTCTCCTTTTTTCAAAGATCTGTTACATGAGTTAACGACTTGATTTATGTTGTCTTACAGAAACTTGGCTGCAGCAAGAGGATTATGTGAGCATAAATTAGGTAACTCACTCTGGTTATTTTTACATACCTAGATATTCTGGGCGACGAGGAGAAGTAGCAACATTCTTCAAAATTCAAAATTCAGTCTGACTTACTAATTAGTCCAAAGCCAGTTAATGGTTATATTCTTTTGAGCATTTAACACTCGGTTTCCGTCATCCAAATTGCAAAGCAACAAAACCTCTTCTGTGTCAAACTTTGTATCATCCACCAGGTCCTTTCTCTGAATTTTTAGATCAAATTTCAGAGTTCCTATCTGATTTACTGTTAAACACTGAGAAGGCCATTTTAAAGGGGGGGTTTTAACATCCATGCCCACATTGAAGGTGTTAGCTTAAATGCAGCCTTTAATGTTATCTTAGAGTCGATTGGTTTTGTTAAAAATGGGAAAAGTCACAGTATGGTATTGGAGGCCAAGAAATAGCAATATTTCCTCAAAATCTTGTCCTCTCTGTCCCTTTTTTGGTAACTTTCAAAATTATTTAAGGGGTCTCCTCTCCCAAAAGAACATTTCATTTCAGTAGATTCTTATCAGATAATGCAGATATGAAATTTTAAAAAATCTCTTTCCCCTCTTGGTATCATTGAACAACACTTCACAAACTGGCAATTTTGTTGATGGGCTTGCTATTTCCCTGTGTACTGCCTTAGACAATGCAGCACCTATAAAAAAAACATACTTTAAAAATAGAAATCTTGCTCCTATTTTGATAAAAAGCTGCGCACTTTAAGGAAAATGCAAGAAAACTGGAGAGGAAATGGCACTCTATATGCGCACAACAATCCTACCTAGTTTGGAAAAAGCATTTTCCTGCTGCATAAAATGACCCTTAGTAAAAGAAGAGCAGAATATTTTTCTTGATTATAGAAGAATATAAGAATATTCCTAGATTTATATTTTAATGTACTTGCCAAACTCGCCCAGAGCCATAGCTCTGTTGAACCCTCCAATCCCCCTGTTCTAAGTAGTAATGATTTATGGGATTCTTTATAAATAATATTGATCCTATTAAAAATAAGATAATTGGCACCCCTCTGAATGTGATTGGTTTATCTCTGGAAGGTGAGGCAGAACCTGAGGTAACCTTAAAATCCGAACCAGGTTTAGACTGATTTGATCCAGTTAAAGTATAACAGTTAGCAAGATTCAGTGTCCAACAAATAGGATCAGTCCATTTGCTGCACATGTGTAGAAAGCTCCAAGCAAATAACAGCAAATCATTTGAAAACAAATGGCAGGAAGAGCAGTGTTGCGAACTAAGCCCTTTTGTTGCTGTATTGTTGCTGTATGTGACTTTTTAGACTTCTCTAGAGGTTTTACTGCAAAAAAGCGCTTATCGCCAAATATAGTGATTTTTTTCTGTTACTGGAGACTTTGGCGACAACATATAAAAGCACTGCACTCTGCTCTCCAGAGCAAGTAGATTTTTTACCCCTCCTCCTGCTCTCCTCTCTCTTCTCTGCTGTAATGATTCATACAGCTATAATTTCATTTAAATGAAAAAATGGAAAACAGATAAGCAAATCATCGCTTATTTGTAGTGAAAAGTAGGACTGGGCTATTTACTTTTGCTGTCGATTTTTAAGGAAACACAGGAAGGAGCAATCAGCTAAGTTAGAATGGGCTTAGTGATTGGAGAATCTTTGATTCCTTTTGAGACGGCATTGAAAGGCAACTAAGAAAATTTGCCAAAATGAAAAAAAAAATGGACAAAAGAAAGGAAAACTGCAAGAAATTTGATAAGAAGAGAGAGACAAAAGGTAGAACAAATAATGTTTGTTTATTGCATTAAAATATATGTATCTGTATAATGGGTCTGTTTTATGTGTTGATCTCTCAATTTAGAGGGCCCCCTGCCTGTCTTTGCCTAGGGCCCCAAAGTTCCTAAATCCACCTCTGCCTTAAGGAAGTGTTCCCTTTAATTCCCTCCTCCATTTTAGGTGTGATTGATCTATCAATTTTACAGGGATATGTACCTCAGGCTTTTAAGGTAGCTTTTATTAAACCTTTACTTAAGAAACCATCTCTTGACTTATATCTAAATTTCATTTCTTATCTAAACTTCTTAAGAAAATAGTTGTTTAACAAGTGTGTGACCACTTAAAACATAATGAACTTTTAAAAGAGCTTCAGTCAGGTTTTAGAGCTCATCTTAGCTGAAACAACACTGGTAAAAGTCACAAATGATATTCCCATTGCTTCAGATAATACACTTGTATCAGAACTTGTCCTGTTAGATCTCAGTGCTGAATTTGATGCAGTTGATCTTTGCCATTTTGTAGGAATAAAGGGGTGCAGTACTATGCTGATTTAGATCTTATTTATCTGACATATTTCAGTTTATTCACCTTAAAGGTAAATCTTCCTCATGCTCCAGGGTTACCTGTTGAGTACCACAGGCATCAGTCCTAGGGCCAAATATCTTTACTACATATACTGTAAGCTCCTAATCGGTAGAATTATTAGACAGCATGGGATTCATTTCCATTGTTATGCTGATCATATTCAGCTATATTTCTCCATAAATGTTTTTCAGTATAGTGCAGTGTTTCTTTTTCATCCTCCTGTTAAAAGGGAGTTTTCCTCTCCACTGTCTCTACAGTACGTGCATGCTTGGTGAGAGGGATTTCTGTCTAGTCAATAAGTTGATGCAATCAGCTGGTTTTCCTTAGATAGAAAACTTTGAACCAGTCTGACTGTAAGATCTGGTTGAATAGTCTCTGTAAAGTTGATTCTAATTTCCATTTAAAGTTCTGTTTTTTATTGGCGGTTTGAATTATTTTTTGTCATTTCTTGGACTTGCATTCTGATTTCAATTTTCTGCAGTCAAGCGTAACGTCAGCGTATAGGGAGACGCATTGCATGGCTTCCTAAATTCATGAATGGCAACACATTGAATTAGCCTTTTTTTTCCCAACTTTTTTCAAAGTTCACATTTGGATAGAAACACAGCTACTGACAAATAATATATCAGAATATCCATGAATAACTGGTGGCAAGGTAAGAATTGAAAGTACTAGTCCAAGTAAGCCCAGATATTGGTGCCATTTAGACACAATTGAAATGGAATGAAAGTGAGGGGAAGGGCAAAGTTTCCTTAAATCAAAGGAAGAGATTGGTGAGAGAAACGGCTGATAGACGTAGGCTCGTTTAAGGAGGTAGGGGGTCCTAACTTTACCCCAAGCTATAGTACATGTTTTTTGGTTTCGTATTTAGCTAAATGAGCAATTTTCTTTTTGGGGAGCACTTTGAATTTTATAAAGATGTGATGGTCACATGGTCAGTAACCCCACACAACACAACTTTTTCATAAGTTTTTTTAAATCAGAGTACCATAAATATATTGGTTTGTTTTTGACAATTTTAAAGACATTAGTTCCAATTGTAGCGCGCACATTTGGTTAACTTTTGTTTATTTAATTTTGTCAAATGCTTAATATATTTTCTGCTTTCTTTTCTGGTGCTGTGGGCGTGCAATCAACTGGGGGAATGTGGCTGACATCATGGACTGATTGGGTGGTACCATCTAGAGTTCCACTATGGGGGAAGACCATGGACTCCACATTTTAAAATATGTTGCATAATTTCTTCTTCTTACTTTTGTGATTTGCTCATTTTGTTAATTTGTATATTGATTGTTATTTAAGTTTAATCCTTAAGCTAACTGTTTAGTTATTTTTTTTGTTAATTTGTTGTAGATGTTCTCTCTACCTCTTCCTCAGTGTGTCAGTCTGGTCTGATCAGCCAGTATTTAAGTCCCCTTTGTTTGCTGTGTGTCAGGTCAGTTTTTTGTTTGTTCAGTTAGTTTGAGGTTTCATATGTTTGAACTTAAAACTTTTTGCCCTTAGTTAATTTCTTCATTTGACCTCTTTTAAGGGCCCTGAATTTTTTGTTTGGATTATTGTTACTTTGGGGAAATAAAACCCAGTTTTTTTGACAATCACCACTGTGTCCTCATGCTTGGCTGGCTCGGTCCCTCACAAAAGAATTATATAAAAATATATATTTATTTTGCCATAATCATTGATACAAAAATATTCTGTATGTTCCAAGAACATATTATGCAGTAATATTTGCATAATTCCATGTAGGGTTGGGCAGCACAGCACACATTTTGTCCACATAAATCTGGTTAGGGTTAGATTCGGAAACAAGGTCACACCCAAAACCACTCATGTAATTTGTTGTCTATCTTTTACATTTCCTTAACCCCATCCTCTCTTGCCCTTACCTCTTTTCCTCATCCCTATTTATTCCATCACATGGAGGCACATTTAATTAATGCATCTGCTCTAAATTTTAGTTAAAGTTTAGTACGGGTAAAATTATTGAATAATTCTGGCTTCTCAACAGAGCAGAACCAAGATTTATTGAACGTAAAGTTATGGACTGCTCACTGAACCTCCTGGTGGCAAAATAAAAGACCCAGCCACTAGTTCAGCAGAGGAGTATGCACAGCTCCGATAGTTGATTAGGACAGAGCAGCTCTGAGCATTGAATGCTGTCCAGTGCTGCTTACTGCTTTAAGGTTGTTTTGTGAAATACTGCTGGATTTATTTTTTTAGATACACAATACCAGTAGTGATTGTTTCAACTGGGTGTTGCTCTTTAGTTTTCATTTGTCTCTTTAATTATGAGTGATATATGTCTTTATTCGTATACCTGAAAGGATCCCAGGCCCAGCTCGATGTACAGCCTGGCGGCCACTCCAGTGTTCTCAGGCAGGAAGGCAAATACAGTGTAGTGCATCCCAAACAGAGGAATGAGGAACAGGGTGGATTTAGCCAGCCGCCTGATGCAAAAACAAATGATGAACAGATTTTACAGCAGAAAAAAAAAAAAAAAAAAGGTTTACATGTTAAATGCAGTGAATCTGTATAGCACTTCTAGCCATACAGACCACTTAATCCTATAAACACCCAATCACATTTACAAATGCACAGACATTCATGTACCAATATGACAGATCAGTGGTTGGTTGGGGTTCAAGTCACCTAAAGTACCAATAAATGTAACAGCAGAAAGTTGGACTCAAATCCACAAATTTCATATTTAGCCACAGTTATCGTGTGTCTTAGCTTTAACATTTGTTCTAATCTGAAGTCTTTGTTATTTAAGGGTTTTTTTAGGTTTTCCTGGGGTAAAGTACATTTTATTTATCACAGTCTTTATATTAACCTTAACATCTTCTAAGAAAATTATATCGTGGTAATTACAATAACATCAGTTTGACTTCTAATAAGCTTCCTGTAGATCATGTTGTTTGAATCTGATTCTTTTACAAAGGCTGACTTTATCTTTAAGTCAGTGAAACAGCAGTCAGATGTTCTATTTAATGAGAAGCCAATAAAAAAGAGCTAAAGGTAAGCCTGAGCAGATGTGCCTGAATTCATAGATCAGATTACAAGTTGTTTTTTTTTATGGCTTACTAAAGAAACAAAATCTATTTGCTGTTGGCTATCTCACCAGTCCCTGAAAGCATTAAAGAGAAGATATTAAACGTGACTGCTCCAGGATTGTGTTATTCTGCTGTCAGCCTAGGGTTTCAGAGCTTTTTGTTTTCATGTCTCTGTTCCACCTCAAAAAGATAAGACAGAAACAGAGATTTTAAACATGCAAAAATTTCATTGAATAGGTGAAACATTTCTGTCTTATAGCGATCAAAGAGTCATCTATTTCTAGTATCTGGATGCTATTTATATTTGCTCTCTTTTGAGATGAATGCAGCTCAGCACAAATCTGCACTAGCTGAACTGCCAATACAGGGAAAACATTGATTTAGTAGAAGCAGGATTTATGGGTTGTACATTGTTTACAACATCCTCCAGATTAAACTGCAGAAAATAGCGCTTCATTTGTTAAAAATATTTTCACCTTGTCCCCTTCTTGTCATACTTTTTATGAATCAACACTAAAAGGTATTTGAATACTTCATGAAATAAAAAAAACCTGTTTCTTTATCTCTAATTTCTTTATCATAAATATATGCATATGTGCATATACTCTCACCGGCCACTTTATTAGGTACCCCATGCTAGTAACGGGTTGGACCCCCTTTTGCCTTCAGAACTGCCTCAATTCTTCGTGGCATAGATTCAACAAGGTGCTGGAAGCATTCCTCAGAGAGTTTGGTCCATATTGACATGATGGCATCACACAGTTGCCACAGATTTGTCGGCTGCACATCCATGATGCGAATCTCCCGTTCCACCACATCCCAAAGATGCTCTATTGGATTTAGATCTGGTGACTGTGGAGGCCATTTGAGTACAGTGAACTCATTGTCATGTTCAAGAAACCAGTCTGAGATTATTCCAGCTTTATGACATGGCGCATTATCCTGCTGAAAGTAGCCATCAGAAGTTGGGTACATTGTGGTCATAAAGGGATGGACATGGTCAGCAACAATACTCAGGTAGGCTGTGGTGTTGCAACAATGCTCAGTTGGTACCAAGGGGCCCAAAGAGTGCCAAGAAAATATACCCCACACCATGACACCACCACCACCAGCCTGAACTGTTGATACAAGGCAGGATGGATCCATGCTTTCATGTTGTAGACGCCAAATTCTGACCCTACCATCCGAATGTCGCAGCAGAAATCGAGACTCATCAGACCAGGCAACGTTTTTCCAATCTTCTATTGTCCAATTTCGATGAGCTTGTGCAAATTGTAGCCTCAGTTTCCTGTTCTTAGCTGAAAGGAGTGGCACCCGGTGTGGTCTTCTGCTGCTGTAGCCCATCTGCCTCAAAGTTCGACCTACTGTGCGTTCAGAGATGCTCTTCTGCCCACCTTGGTTGTAACGGGTGGTTATTTGAGTCACTGTTGCCCTTCTATCAGCTCGAACCAGTCTGGCCATTCTCCTCTGACCTCTGGAATCAACAAGGCATTTCCGCCCACAGAACTGCCGCTCACTGGATGTTTTTTCTTTTTCGGACCATTCTCTGTAAACCCTAGAGATGGTTGTGCGTGAAAATCCCAGTAGATCAGCAGTTTCTGAAATACTCAGACCAGCCCTTCTGGCACCAACAATCATGCCACGTTCAAAGTCACTCAAATCACCTTTCTTCCCCATACTAATGCTCGGCTTGAACTGCAGGAGATTGTCTTGACCATGTCTACATGCCTAAATGCACCGAGTTGTCACCATGTGATTGGCTGCTTAGAAATTAAGTGTTAACAAGCAGTTGGACAGGTGTACCTAATAAAGTGGCCGGTGAGTGTATTTATGTTCTGTTTTTTTTTTCTGGACTTATCCCTCTAGCCTGAATAATCCTGTTTTGAAAGATTTTTCTTTTATGTTGTGTTATTAGATTTTTTATTCAATTCTTTATTAACTTATCATGCTGGAATGTTGAGACTTACATGAAATGACCAGTATCACTGTTTCCTGCAGTGGTTGAAGATTTAAGCTTTTGGACCAGAATCCGGATAACATTTATGAAGATGACTATGTTGACCTGTCAGAAACATATGTACAAACCAATCAATATCAATAAGGTTTTAAACAAAAATTAAAAAATCTTTTAGTGTGAAGCTTCTTACCCACATCCATGTTTTTTTTTTATTATTATTTAAATGCACCTTAATTTCTGAGTTAAAGTTATGAGTTTGCTAACCGAAAACATACAACAGAAGATGAGCGAAGATGGTTCAAATTGTTGTGGATATTTAACCAGTAAAAATGTTTAGCAACTTTTCCCTTGACACCACCCCTGTATAGTTCAGATACCACCATTCTACCAGGGATGTTGTCTCTTGTAAACTGATTCCCTGTTGTACTGCTTAGGTTGGGGTCATTTCAGTTGAACAGATAACATTTAATAAAACACTAAACTGCTAAAAAAAAAATAAGAAGGGAACATTTAAATAACATCCTAGATCTGAATGATTGAAATGTTCCCTTTGAATACTTTGTTCTGTAAAAAGTTGAATGTGCTAAAAACAAAATCACTCAAAAATCATCAATGGAAATGAAATGTATTAACCAATGGAGGCCTGGATTTGGAGTCACACACTAAATTAAAGTAGAAAAACACACTACAGACTAATCCAAATTTGATGTAATGTCCTTAAAACTGGTCAAAATGAGGCTCAGTATTCTGTGTGGTCTCCACATTACTATAGGTAACATGCTCCTGATGAGGTGGGGGATGTCTCCTGGTGAGGTGGCGGATGTCTGCTGAGGGATCTTCTCCCAGACCTGGACTAAAGCATCCACAAACTCCTGAACAGTCTATGGTGCAATGTGACGTTGGTGGATGGATCGAGACATGATGTTCCAGATGTGCTTAATTGGATTCAGGTCTTAGGAAGGGGAGGGCCAGTCCATAGCTTCAATGCCTTCATCTTGCAGGAACTGCTGACACACTCCAGCCACATGAGGTCTAGCATTGTCCTGCATTAGGAGGAACCCAGGGCCAACCGTACCAACTTATGGTCTCACAAGGGGTCTGAGGATCTCATCTCGATACCTAATGGCCATTATGCTACCTCTGGCGAACACATGGAGGGTTGTGGGGCCCTCTAAAGAAATGCCACCCCACACCATTAATGACCCACTGCTAAACCAGTCATGTTGAATGATGTTGCAGGCAGCAGATTGCTCTCCACGGTGTCTCCAGACTCTGTCACGTCTGTCACATGTTCGCAGTGTGAACCTGCTTTTATCCATGAAGATCTCATACCATCCTCATGGAGTCGGTTTCTAACCGTTTGTACAGATGCAGGCACATTCTTGGACTCCTGGAGGTCATTAATATTGTGTGATTTATGTGTTCCCTTTATTTTTTTGAGCAGTGTATATACACATATACATGCAGCATATGTTTATTTATTTGGTCATTGTTTCCCACAATGTAGGAAAATTTAGCTACATGCAAATCTCTTTTCTTAAGGAAAATCTAAAGATGATATTTTGGCCATTGCCATGTAATATAAAAGGTTTGCTTCATGTTAGGTTCATTGTTAATATTTCCCTAATCTGTTTTAGACAGTTAACAATCTGTATTCGCAGATGAGTGTAATCCCACAGTCACGCTTTAGCTAATTTTAGGACTTTTGAACATTTCAAAACCAAGGCAGTTTAATACTAACCTACATTAATGGACTAATGGATTACTAACGAAAAATGGCTCTTACAAAAATTACCGATTGTAACTTCATAGAACCTCACTTGAAATGCCCCCCTTAAGAATAGTTTATTTAACAAGTAAAGCTTCAGAATAAAAGCATGCCTGAACCAGCATAGACAATTAACCAAACAAGTAAAGCAAATAAACTGTAATACTATAAAAAATACAATTAAATGTTCACAGCTCTTACTCACCAGCAGTGATGCTGTTATTGGTCCTTTAATGATCCACCAAATGCCAACATTGTCATTGTCATCCCAGCAGCTGCAATAAAAGGCAAACTGAATTCAGCTAAGTATGACTTGAGCTCCTTTAACATATCTAACATAAATTAGGAAGATAAAGTTTATGATACCCTCTGTCATCATAGAAGAATCTGGTCAGAACCCAAAGTATGAGGACCATGGATGGCAGTCCTAAAAATACAAGAGCACATGGATATGCATGTTAAATGAAATATGTATTGTTTCGTAGAAGTATGCAAAATTATGTTTACTCTTTATATGAAATTTATCACTGTGGTACCTAATAATAATGAAAACACATTTTATTTGTAAACTGTATGTTTACACCTTAAGTTCAGAACAAACATGCCTGTGTAAATTCTCAGACAATCGACTCATGGCACCCACAAAACAGGCATAAATTGGGAGGAAACCAGACTTTCGGACACCTTTCCAAGGGTCTTTGTCTATTTTGTTGACTCGCATCCGAGAAATTCGTAGCTGGAGCACTGATCTTTTTAAACAGCATGGAGGTTTATACTCCTAAGCACATTCAAAGTCAGATGCAAATCAAATAGCCATACCCTTGATCTCCTGGATTGTTGGAGCCTTTTGTTGTGTATGGGCTATATGATTGGTCTTTTAAATTATAATGGAAGTGCTGATGTAATCTTGTAGGAATTAGTTCCATGATTGATTTGTAAATGCTTGGAAGCTGAAACTGCAATCCTCCCCCTCTGTTCAGAGATGGTTTTTCTCCTTTCAAAAAGATAGCTTTCTTGTCCCCTCTCTCGAACCATATGTCCTCTGTGTCCAAAATCTTAAAAAAAACATTGGGCTTCAAAAGTGTGCCCTTTGTTCTTCAGGTCCTAGTGTACAGCTGAATCTTGCCCATAGTTACTGCCTCTTTTATGCTGCTCCAAGTGTTTGTTTAAATTTTTTTTTTGGGTTTCTCTAATATAGGAGGCTTTGGGTGTTCAGGTATATTTTGTTTTTACTAATAAATCCTTCCTAGTTTCTCTAAATTCCTGAAACATATTGAATTACAGTGTTTTTGCATCTCTTTTTTCTCCACTGTGTTGCAAGCAGTGCTGTTTTCCTGCTACAGTTGTTGTTTTAGCCAATTTAAAAAGCCAACTAGTTGGGATAACCACATGAATCAAGTGATTTCCTAAAGTGTTTGTGTTCATGTTTCCCTCTATAATTGAGAGAATATTGTCAGCCAGGTCTATCCATTCTATTGTCCTCAATGTGCACAGCACAGTCCAGAAAAGGGCAACTTGTCCAGTGATGACAGTGAGCTGGTTGTGTTCCCTTATATGCGCTAACTTTCACCTCCACCTCCTCCATATAGATATTGGCAACAGTGGGCAAAACTGGGAGCCCATGGAGAAAAAAAGGAATGTTTGGAATGTGCTTAGAAGGATGGACTTCCATGCTGCTCCAACTAAAGATTGCTTCGGTGCAAGCAAACAGAATTGACAAAGACGCCTGGCTAGGTGAAGAAATGTCTTCAAGAAACTGAGCAAAAGTCTAGTAGTCTTTAAAATTAAGCCTGTTTGTGGTTTAAGACAAACCTTAAGTCCTACAGGTTAGATCATCAAAGTAAGCTAAAAGCATCCATGTATATTTAAACATGTGAAAAACGATACTGGGCAAAAACATTTAACTCATAGGTTCTGCAAAAAGAAATAAAACAATTTTTGTCCTTTTATAAAAGTGGAAATAGTCTTTGGTTCTCTCAGATGGCCAAGAGGGGCAATCCAAGTCTGAGGAGCATCAGAGCAGGACACGAGGACGATAGGTGAGTAAGCGTTTGTTGCCATTCATAGGTTGTAGGTCTACTCGGATATACTCCCTTAATAGACATCCAAAGCAGTCATAAAACCAAGTGAAATGATGGAAGTAGAATGCAAAACTGGATGTAAACACAAATGCATCTTCATCTCAACTTTAACAGCTGATTTTAAAGCAGATATCTATTTTTTACATATATTCTACAAAACATAACTTTCTGTATTGGACAGACTTTGTTTACAAACTAGGAAAAAGTGGCATTGGTTAGTTATACCCATAAGTCTACATACTGTTGATTAAATGCTTTAATTCGTTAAATTGTGATTTTATAGTACTAACCAAAAAAAAGTAACATAATTATTAAATAGAAGGTAGAATATTAATTCTTTATTCAAGATATTTTAAAGATACAAAATCTGAAAAATGTGGCATATACTGCACCCTAGTTAAATGAAATCCACTGCAATCAATTGCTTTCAGAAGCCACATAAAAATAGACTCCAATGGTCATATATTTAAATATTAGCCTAAACCTAGCAGGTCTGTGAAGGTATCAGGGGTTTGTTGGAAACCATTAGTGAACCAACACCTTTATGATGACCAAAGAATACATGTTAGGGATGAAGTTCTGGAGTTGTTTGTTTAACTCTGAGGGAGCAGCTAAACTCCATAGATGAGGTTGTATGATCTGTATAGGTATTGGCAGTGCACTCCATTTGTCTTTGGGGAACACTAGCAACTTAAAAGCCATTGAAGAAGTCCTGTTTAAAGTATTGAACAAGCAATGCGGGAGATATAGGAAACACGTGGAATAGTAGGTCCTGGCCACAATGGTGGAGGGGTAAAGAGGTAAAGTTCCATTGTACAACTATAAACTGTACCAAGTCGCACAGTGCACAAGTTCAAACATACAGTGCACTGTATGTTTGAAACTTTTGATCTAAATATAGTTCAGAAATATGCCCCAAGGGCTCACTAAAACTAATAGAAGAGAACACTCTGAATGATTTATTTTCTAAGCCTTCACTGACATGGTTGAAGGAAATTCAATTAATCCCCAACACGGTTTGATGAACAGAGGCACAATGCATTTCTTCCCTATCTCCCGTCACAGCAGGTGAGTAGCTGTCCTAAACTCAAATCTTCATGTCTTGTAGACACTGGCTTGTTTATGAAATGCCATGGCATGGTGAATTTTCTAAACAATTTTACTAAAGCTGCTTACAAAACCTTCTTAGTTAGAGGCATTGTGTCACCCTGATTTCAAGAACCTGACTAACCTCTGATTAGACTGACACAGGGTATGCACAGTTCCAAGGGTCTGATTTCTCCTGCACTTAATCACACCTAGCCCCAGCTTCCAGTTAAATCCCTGATATGAATGCCCCAAAACCATGTAGGTGTTTATAAGCAGCTCTGGCTGAACATATTCGTACTTGTTACTTCTTACATTACAGGGACAAAATGTCCAGCTTCACATTGACCTTTTGCTTGCTGTAATTTCTGGTTTACTGTTTCTTTTCAATAAAAAGAAAAAAATGGCTTTTCTCAAATTCAGTCCTAGAATAATCTGTCAGTAGATGTCCACTCTGCTCAGTGGGGCCAAGTAATACTGTAACATTGGTGGCAGAACAAATGAGGCAAATGGGACTTGACATTTTGGGAACACTGGCTTGAAATAGCTAAATAGAACAAGGTATGAATACCTAATGGAGAGAATAGAATACAAGACAGTGGATGTTGTTTTGTTGGTGATTATATGCTAAAATCAGAAACCTCTTATGAATCAATAGGAAATGCTCAAAGAAACGGAAGAAAAATTTTAAACAAGAGGTGAAATTGTAGCTGCAATCAAAGCCACAGTGAGAGCATCCTGTCAGCAGGGAGACTGATTGTTGTCTCAAAATAGATTACCAGATAGAACTGTGTGCTAACTCAATTTAAAAAGCTGAACTTTCTTATTTATTTTTCGTATCTTAATAGTTGTATATTTATTTTATGTAGCACAAAAATATGTTTTTATCTTTTCAAAACACGAAAAGTACTTATCCAAACCATCCAAATAAACCTTAATGGTGCTAAAGAAAGAATTCAACATTCTCCTGGCTATGAAAATGTGATTCTCAAATGGCTCAAAAATTGCTCTTAAAATATCAACAAAAACAACTGAGCCAAGGATAAAGAATGGGTAAGAAACAACGCTGTTTTTTTATATGCCAGGTTTCTTGACATGAGCAAATTTTCACAAAAGAATGGCTATATTTAAAAAATAAAAATTTATGAGTGTCATCGTTACAGGTTTACAGTTTATTTTTTTAAATAGTAATAGAAAATAAAAAACGCATAATGAAATGTTAGTCTTTTAATTTAACCATAAAAAAAAGGTTTTACAAAACCTTTGCTATAAATAAATTGATAAAATATATAGGGTTGTGCACCTTGAGGAAATTTCCTATAGCTGAACTTCGGTAAAAAATGGTTGTCTTCATTGTAAAGATTGCTGACCTCTGACTTAAGCTGATCAAACATCAACTAGATAATTCTACACAAATTCTCACAAACGCTGATTAGTACATAGCCAAAAAAGAGTGGCTCTCCTGGCCTGGTTTATTTACATTTGTGGGTCATCCATCCAAAGTCATGCCCAGAATCTCAATGAATTTATGCAGGGAATGACAGATTGAGGCGATGGAAAACAGGCCTTCAAACCCGATAGACTAACAGCTCAAAAAGTTCATTTAAATCCAAAATACTTAATTCATGCATGCTTGGATTGATGGATTGCTGTTGAGTTGTTGAGTCAATGGAATCATTTGGTTTTCCTTAGATAGAAAACTGAACAAATCTGAATGTATGATCTGTCTCTATAAAGTGCCTTTAGATAAAATGTGTTGTAAATTGGTGCCATATAAATGAACTGAAGTTAATCGTTAAAACTCTTACAAAGGGTTTCTTCAACAAGTTGTTGCAGTGGCTGATAGCTTTAGGTAGCAAGGATCTCCTCTGGTGGTCTGACTTACAGTGGTTCTCGGAAACTTTTTTGTTGTACAAACTGTGAGAAGGGATCATCAAGATTCTCCATACTGTTCTTCGTTTAATGAAGAATTGCTTTTTTGTAAACTTACCTAATCACCAAGTGTAAATTATCAAAGTATACTAAAGAAATTGAAGAAGCTGGTCAATTATTATAAAAAGCATTTAGTACCCATAATGCTACTAAAGGTTTTTCAACTGACCATTGAGAAGGGATTCCATTTTTTTATTGTATCAAATTCTTAATAAGGTTAAACTGAAAACAACAATACCAATAGTGTTCTATGTAATTCTTTTAATTCATTGAAAGTTCACATATATTAAGCTTACTGCAATTTTAATTTTACAGCCCATTGATGTAATGTAAAAGCAGATAAACAGTTACAAGTTATTAGTATGTTTTTTTAGTCACAAAAAATAACTCTATGGCACTTGTAGGAATTCACCATTATCCCATTTCTGCAGTTTAACCCTAAGTCAGTAACGAGTTTCTATCTACTTTGACTCCTGACTTTTTTACTCACCCCATCCAATAAGAATGTACCACCAGAAGTATTTCCTCTGAGAGACGAAAGTGAGGGCCAGAAGGGTCTGGAGATACATGCCCTCCACAAGCAACCAAAAGTAATTGGCCAGGATGCTGAACTGGAAAAACGCTACTGCTGACTTACATGTAGCCTGAGGGATAAAGACATAAAGATAAGAGCATCAATCTTTAAGTGGTAGAGAAAAACTCTTCTCTATCCAGAGTCTTTATTTCTGTTTAATTTCAGTGGGATCTTTACAATAAGTAATCACCAGAATAACTTCTTTAGGCACAAATTGTTTAGGGGCACAATATATTTTCAAGACAAAAATGCAACATATTTTGCAGACCCAAGAAGTTGAGACATTCCCCAACCACATCAATTCAGAGGATAAAAACATCAGGTTCACCAAAGAGAATATCAAGAATAATTAACAGCACAGTCCCTTTATGGACTGTGCTGTTGACAAGGATGGGAGTATTAAATAATGAGATCACAGATATAGACTGATATCTTTATTTTGAATCACATCACCAACCATAAAAGAACATTTTAGTTATCAGAATTGATTTTGGAATGGATCAAGATGGGGCGGAAACTTGGACGCACACTCCAGCTGGCATCTATGGAGTAAAATCATTTGGTTTTGTCTATTCACATGGTTTTATCAATAAGGATTTTTTTTTTTGCATACTCCATTTTCAGGTCTTTGGCATACACTTTAAGTATAGATCTCATGCAGTGTTTTATGAAAAAAAAGACCAAAGGGACCTTATGTATAAAAGAGTGTGCAGCTTTCATACTAAAACTTGGCAGTATTTTTGAGCTTAGACTAGGTACTGCATACTCTTCCTTTATACATGGAAAATCAATGCAGCTTGAGGAACTGCTTGGAAAACCTACTACCACCTAATTTTATGGGAGCTGCTGGGAGGAACACTATATAATCCAGGCGCTCTTCTTGCGGTTTTGCGCCGGGCGGCTTTTCTGCTCTTGGGTTGATTCTGTGCGCGGTGTGTTGCGATGCGCGCTGTTGGCGTCGGTCTTGGTGGGGTGGGGCTGCGCTTTTGGCCGGGGGGGCGTTTTGGGGGGTTCCCGCGGCGCTCGCGGCCAGTTCGCGGCGGATGCGCGTGGGCCCCGGCCACAGGCGGGGCCACCTGTGTGCTTTTCCTGGGTGGTGCAGTCACGGTGGGTGTTGCGGCCGGTCGCCGGGGCTTGGTGCCGGGGGGCGGGGCGTGTTTCGGTGCTCTGTGGGGCTGGGGCGTTTCGGTCGGTGCCGTGGGGGGGCCGGTGTTCGGTGCCCGGCCCTACTTCAGGGTGGCCGGCTGCCGGCGGGGCCCGCGGACTCGTCCCCGCGGCTCCTCGGGGCGCCGGCATGGCGGTGGCTGGGGGGCTTCTTCGTGGCTGTCTCTCCTCCTGCCTTGGTGGGGTCTGGTTTCCGGGGCTGGCCCCGCCTTGGTGCCTTCGCTTCTGGGGTCCCCTTGGGCGCCTGGGGCTTTGGGTCTCCCGGCGCTGGACTCGGTGCTCTGGGGGGTGTGCCTCTCCGGCTCTCCACAACCACTATTGAGCATTTTTTCTATGGTTAAAACTTTACATGCACAAGTTCACCCTCACAAACAACTACAGGTGCTAGGCTTCAGGTACTCAGAGATTCACTTCCAAACAGAAACCCCACATTCATATCTTCAGGTAACACAGAGTACATGTCAGACTTAATAATATTACTTTAGCGATAGTTTCAAGGTGTTGCTTTATTGTATATCTCGTACCGTGTCTTTTGGTTGTGCTGTTCTTTTTTCATCTCGTTACAGGTGATGAAGTAGACTGAAAATGTTTTGTCATTGTCTCCTTTCTATCCCCTCTGTCTTTCATCTTTTGTCCTTTTTTTTTCTTTTTCCTTTTTCTTCTTCTGTTTTTCTGCTCTACCTACATTGCAGTGTCCATATGAACTGTAAAACTCCCTGCATAATTATAATAAAGCAATTTATATGCATGAAACAAGTGGAGCTATATGGCAATTGCCATACCGCTACACTTGTGAAAGTAAAATCTGTTGGGCTCCTTTTGGCATCAAGACAATTATTCTTATTGCCACATTGCCAGACAGGACACTGTAAAAAAAAAAATAACAAAAAAAAATAATCCAGGCTCTCTCAGTGTGTAACCGTGAGATTATTGAAAGCTGCTACTGTGAGTAGAACCACCCGCAATCCTTATTTTGAACTTCTGATCTTGAGCTGTTCCTGTTTTCTACTGCCTTACCCTTTTTGTGCATACCTGATGCCTTCTGATCTCCAGATCTTGACTTCCTGGCTTCCCTTACAACCAAGTCAGTTTGCCTCTGTCTGGATTCTTATGTCAGTCGTGTATGATCAAAGCTCTGTCTCCTCCATCTGTCTCTCTAATCTGTCTGGTTACTGTCCCTGTTACTGATTCTTTCACCTGGATTCCAGATTTCCAGCTCGTTTAGTCCTTCTAGAAACCAATGCCACGTGGACTGCTTCTCTATGCATGACCTGAGTGACCATGACCATGACTGAGCCTTAGCCCAGTATAGCACCATCAAAATTAGATCAATATTTGATCCAAATGAAGCCACTGGGATCAGTCATTAGAGCCAGCGAAGCCTCCCAGTTTTTGAGAAGCTTATTTGCTTTCATTCAGTACACCTTCAACACCACTAAGGTGTTCTCAGCCAATAACCCTGTTCTCCTTCCAACTGTTATTCCAGTTCTAGTCAGTTCCTGTTCCTAAAAGACTACTTTACTTTTAAATAAACTCGTTGAACCTACCTCATGTGTTGGCTAAATCATTGTGTCTCCAGAGTCTGTCCATGCACTTGGCTGTGGCAGTGTTGAGAAATGCTTTTTTCAGGTTATAGAATCACTATCTCTCCTGTCAGTAAGACCAACTCTGCTTCTCCCTTAGTTAACCCACCTTTCTCCTCTACGGTCCATAACATAAAACCTCAACTAATATCTCTTGAGGTGTTTAAGGAAAGAACCTGATCAGTGTGGTTTCTTCCTTATCTAGTGTAAGATCCATTTTGATATGCAACATTTCTCCTTTCCCTCAAAACCTTTCAAGGTAGCTTTCATTACATCATTACTGTCTGATAAAGCCAATAAATGGGGGCCGCTCAATGTCAAAGAAATACAGGGATCTGTTATTCTTATGATGCTTTCGCCAAAAAACAAATTTATGTGTTTGATGCCATCCCACCGGGTTAAGAGGCGTTTATGAGGTTATTCACCAACAGAACGAATGAGCATGCTGCAACCAACTATATAATTGATTTTCAACTACATGCAGCAGACAGTAATTGGAATGAAGAGGCTCTGATGGATGCGTTTATACAAGGCTTAGATGATGAGATTAAGGATCAGCTGGTTACTCATGATCTGCTAAGGCCTCTGCAGGGGATGGGTGACCTGGCTACGAGAATCAATTTAGGATTCATTTGTCTTTCTGAGGTAAATTGAAAAATCTTTTTTTATTATTATTTGTATTTTAAGTTTTTTTTTTGGGGGGGGGGGAATCATTGAGTAATTAGCAGGCTTACCGTAGACATAGAGCAGTGGTCCAGAGTTTCATCTGCAAACAGCACAGCATCCTTAATGAACACAGCACTAGCTCTCAGAACAAAGGAGGAAAACAGGTTGATGTGGATGTAGTTTCTGGTACAGCGAAACTTCCTGTATAATACAACACAGTGTCACATACAAAGCAGTTTCTTGTACTATCTATGCAAATTATAATGCCTGAATACACTGACAGGTTGGCGGTAAATAAATATAGGCAGATGAGAGAAACAATAAAACTATTCAAAGCTTTATATACAGTATTTTTATATTGCTCTCAATGTAAAAAAAAAAACAGAGCCCTGCTGTTCTAAAACCAAAAAAATTACATTTTAAACATTAAGTGCATTTGAAGATAAATTTGGTTCCTACAAATGTTATGTTACTTGGTTGCTGTATATCTGTATCTGCCCTTACCTGAAGCCTGCAAACACCACTATGGCTGTAAGTAGAGAGATGAGTGAGGTGGCGTACCCTACAGTGTAGACCTGTCTGAACGTATACAGGTAACTTGTCTGGAAGCAGAAAGTAAAACAGGGCAAAACTGATCAAATGTTCTAGTAAGATATTTACACACATTTAACAGATGCGTAAGTGTCCTTTAAAAAGAACATACTGCAGATGGGGAAAAAAATCCTCCTTTAGAATTAAGTTTATAGAAGAAGGTTGAGGTAAAAAGGTGAGGATTGAGGAAGTCTGATGACAACAAAGTGTGTACCTCTGATTCAGGCTCACTGTCATCATTGAAATGACAGGCATCCTCATAAGTTGGATACATTTCAGACCAGCCATCAGCAGTGCAATTCCTGTATACAAACCCTGACAAGAGAGCAGACAGGAATGTGAAGAAAAAACGGGGGGTAAAAACCCCTGCATTATTTTTCAAATATATACAGAAAAATTCTGACATTTTTCATTAAAACCGTATTTCCAGTCCTCATTTCATTCATAACAAAAAGTATTTGGGCAATGTCATGTTGCATAATTCCACCTACTTATGTTATATTGTTTCCACATGTGCGTATAATAAATGTTCATTTGAGCCTGTGTGTCAATAAAAACATCAATATGATTATATGACGATAACGATCCACAGTTAAAGGCTATTTGTTCTTTTCAGCTATAACACCTGCTGATGTTTAAGCATATCTAAAAAAAAATCTAAAAAAAAAAAGTCGATTTTCTCTTTTGCAAGATATGCTGTTCTGTATACATGTATCCAACAGTTTGGATAATAAGATTAGGTTCTTGACATCCAAGTTAGTTTTGCATTTTTCAGAGAAGTAGTGCAACAAACTCCAACATCTTCATTAAGCATGCCTCTGTAATTACTCAATTTAAGTTCCATTTATTGTATTAATATAGAACTTCTTTAGGAACTTTTAAAATAAATATATAACTATTCACATCTAAATATAAAAAAAAATCCAGGGCTATTAAAATAAAACTTTGATCAATCTAATTAATTCCAATTTAGTTTGATCATAAATCATTGCATTAAAAGGTCACAGAAGTCATCCATAAAAAAAAAAAAAAGATTAATGTTGTCAGATGTAAATCATATTATTGCTGCAGATTTATCTGCTGCACAACCACTGTGCAAATCCCCCATGGCTACATCCAAAAAGTGTTATTTTGGAATAACATCTATCAACTGGGGAGGCCACCTGAGATAATGACATTGTGCAATAGGCTGCTGAAAGTGGTTATCAAAAGATAAAGACACAGTGCTTTTGAAGGGGGTGGACATTGTTAGCAAAATACCCAAGTAGGCTGCTGGGTTTACACAAAGCTTAATTGGTATGGAGTATTTGTCTGGAAAAACAAAATAATCCCTACTCTACCACAATACTGATAATAGACAGAACCGTTGTTTCAACAAAAGAAGGATGGTTCCATGCATTTTTGTTGTCATAATGTAGGTATAGTTTTTTCTAAGTACCGTAAATGTTATTCTATCATAGTGTCTTGCTAAGGGACTATGTAAACAGAGGACACACAAGGACATGATAGTTGGAGGAATTTTCAGTGGGTTTATTATGCTACATACATATTGATCAGGATCGAACCAGTTGAGTTAAATCAGGCGGTTGTTTAAATTATCAGAGATTTAACATTGTTCTTAAAACAATAGGATGTTTGACATTATACACACTCTTTTACACAATTTCCGCTGTGTTTTCAGCACTCAGAAGACAGAAAACCAAACTAAAAAAAATGTTGACCTTAGAATCTCAATCGTTCAAATATAAATATATTTGTTCTTGAATTAATATGCTGTTTTTCTCAAATTATTTCACACATTTGCGATTGCCACAGGCTGCAGTTTTTACAGGGCTTTTTTTTAATGCAGTAACCAATTTTGAATGCTGCAATGGCGGTAAATTAACTCAAAGCCATCATTCCTCTGTACAAAATGGATTATAGCAATGTCATTCCTGCTTTTGGAACATTTTTCTTCATTGGTGATGCAAGGCAGAGACCATTTGATGCTTTCATGTCTGTTCAAGTACACTGACTCCATCTTAGCATCTATTTTGGAAATAAGGGTTTTTAGAGGAATGTTGTCAGCTTTGGGACTGGTTATCAACATGTATGTTCTTGGACATACAGTAGTTAGTGAAGGCAGGTTAGGTTAGCGTATGCATTTTTTTCCAGACAAATAAAAGAATCATGGCAAGTGGATTATTTTCTTATTTTTTTCTCTGTAATAATAAACCAAAATGAGTCGAAATACTGTAAAATGCATATGTGTCTGGGTGATCTGCAATTTAGTGTCATTGATGGAAAATGAGAACATAAAGGTGTTAGGAATTAGTTAATCTAATGAAATTACCATATTGATATTATATTACCATATATACTGCAAGCGCAACATTTTAATATCTAAAAATGTGCATCATGTTTTGATAATCACCAACCATTCTCAACTTTAAATCATTGTAAATACGAACATGTTTGTTAAAAAAACTATAGCTTTAAGTTTAGCTGATCATTTGATGTATAAAAATAGAGCACTTTTTACCCTATAATAATTGTATAATGTCATGTTTTTTTTCCCTTAAGAACAGATTTAAAAGGCCAATTACTTTGTCATGTCATGAAAGCTGGCACATAGTATTAAGAACTCCTCCTGCCAGACACATCCCAATGCAATCTACATTCATGCCAAAAAACATACATGAATAATTCATCCTGGGTTTTTCCATCACTGTCTTCAGTTTGCATTAGCACTTTGATTATGATATAGATAATTAACCTTAGCAGGAAATAGGCTGTGCACAAGAAGGGGATTTGAACATGTTATTCTGCATCTAAAAAAGTGTGCTGATTAGAAAGTGAGTACTAGTGTTTAATTTATTTACGTTTTGATGAGCTTTAACGTCTGATGCGTTTTGCAAACCAACCTTGATTGCTGGAGAAATGCTGAAAGACCTCAGAGCAGGATAAGTTGACAACTTGCCCAACTTTGGCTCTCAGCCAACAGCCAATTTCATCCCACTCTGTTTTACATCCTGTTAAGAAGATGCATGAAAACAGAACGGACAGTCAGTTAGATTTAGTCAGTCAGCACCTGTCTTCTTAATAATGCAGTTATGATACATTCCTAGTCCCTTTTAACCTTTGAAGGATATTTGTATTGTTTAAGGAGGTCCAATGACACAACACTTATTAAGCACCATGATTGTTAAAAGCTAATATTTGGCACATATGATGGAGTTTATACCTTATATTATTTAATCCTCAGAATAAAAACTACAAATAAAGGGGGAGAATATGTACTTACAACTTTACCAATTATGTTTAGAAATTGTATTTCTTTACAAACTCTATATTTATTCAGTAGAAACCCGTGTCCTGTATTTATGGAACGATTATTTATCCTGCACTTGCTGCTATTGCACTTCTGGTTAGACCTAAACTGCATTTCGTTGCCTTGTACCTTTGTAATGACAATAAATTTGAATCTAATCTAATTAAAAAAAAAAAAAACACTGCAGAGACCACTCTAGAAATTGTTCTTGTAAGAGAAATTATAGTGTTCAGTAAAATTAGTTGGTTCTTTAAAGTAAAGTATGCATTTTCAATAGGATTTGGAAGAGAATAAAATGTGCTCTTTGTACCATGCAAGGTTAGGAAATATTGGTGATTTACTAGCAAAGCAAGTATACAGAAGAAAGTGTACATGTAAACTCCAGACTAAATTGTAAAAGAACAACTTTTTTCAAAATTAAAACATCAAAAGAGAAAAACACCTCACAGAAAGAAAAACAACTGGATATCTAGAAGAGTGCATGCTCAGATAGAAATGAAACAAAATGCAACCAGTTTACAAAATAAATAAAAAAAATGAATAAACAAGCAGGATGTAGAAAACAACTCTAGGGTATAAAAGTGTGCAGATAGTCATGAGCATCTGGGCAGATAAGGGGCTGATATACAAAAGCACATATTGAGCAGATAAACTGTGCAACTAACAAAATGGTAGCACATGCTTATTGGGTCTGTTGGGAGCAGTGAAGGTTATACAACCTAACTACAGCTGGGAAAAAGGATCTGCATTAGCACTCCTTTGTGTACCTAGGGTGTGACAGTCTTTTAGCACACTCCACCTCGGCAATGGCTTTATCTATGGAGTAAAAAGTAAGATATTTCCCCTAAAAGGGTTTACAACCGCAATTGGAAACTAGGGGAAATAACAGCTCAGTTAATGAATAAACAACTAAATAGATTTGCAAAGCCCCGTGAACAGTCTTAAATCTTCTGGATTATTATAATCAGCATTGCAGTTTCTTTTGACTATACATGAGAAATGCTGGTGATTTATAAGTCGCACCGTATCTTGGCATAAACATATTTTCTCTCTGCTCCTTATCTTATTTATGTAATGCCGCTGAATCTAATCCATTATCAACTACATTCCGAATTTTACTCTATTTCCTTAAAACTGAGCATTTTTCTATCTAGTTAGGAGGTCACATCTACATGATGTCACTTTCAGTGTAACACTAATAAAATATACAGGAGCTATGGTGTGTGATTTTTCCTCAAAGCCCTGGATTATTCAGCTCAGCAGCCTCTCTGTTGCTTTGCCTGACTCAGACTGATATTCCTTTAGTTGTGGATCAGGACCGGTGCACTTCCAGGTTGGCTTTCATTACATAAAATGTTTGCACAGAGATATCGCCAAGAAATGTGATGATTTTGACGCAGTAGGTGGTATACACCCTTGAATGCCTAAACATGTACATTGTGACTGTGCTGTTTCTGGAGTCACATTTCTAGTTTTATATAAGTTGGTTCTGGATAAAGGTATTAAACAGAATTAATCAAATATAGGAAGCTAAACAATGCAGGACACTCTATATTTTGTAAAGAAAGGGATTTAAATTGTTGTTTGTTGGATTTAAACACTACAAATCCGACTTAGTTTCTTTTTTCTTGTTTCCAAGCAACCTTCCAGCAATCTCAGCCATTTTCATTCGTAATTTTTGATGATTTTGGTTCCATTTATTTGTTCTTTGGATGCCTTTTTTCATTTACATCTGCATTTCCATGCAGATATATTCATACTCATTGTACCTTAAACAGAAAACACATTATGGGTAAATAGACAGTGCCTAAGCGTAATCTAATCTTACTATAAATCCATTTGTTCTGTGAAGCTTCTCAGAGGATTGTTCAAAAACATCACTGAGCAAACAGCATCAAGGAGACCAAGGGTAAGAGCAGACATCAAGTTGTGGAAAATTTCAGAAAACTGGTATAACACAGAATCCCAAACATTAAAATATAACAGACCAGTTTTAAATCAATCATCTGAAAACGAAGGTAGCAGAGCACAAATGCAAACTGCATCCATGACAGTCGAACTCGCTCGAACTTGAAGGGGTGCATAAAGTAGCCTATGATAACTCAGGAGAAACTTTAGAGATCTGCAGCTCAGGTAGGAGAACTTGTTGATATGTAACTACTATGCTCTCTGAAAATCCAATATTTTAAAGTAAAGTTCAAATAAGAAAGGTCTTGCTGCAGTTTGTCAAACCATGATGATGACTCAAAACAGTTTAATTATATAGCAAAATTTACAACACATTTCTTCTCAAGGAATTTTACATAGATAATCAAATCAAATCATACATCTGTCTGGTTAAATATTTTCAATCAGTTGTATGGAGTCATTAACTTTGCATATTTTGCTCCTCCTGGATGAGCATGTGGCAAAAGTAGACATTCACTTTCATTGAATGTTTTGAACTCAACAGTAATCCCTCACACCATGAATGCATGCAGAGACAGTGGAGAGGAAAAACTCCCTATGTACAAGAAGTAAGCTTCAGCACAACCAGTGTGATGGGCCTTCAGCCTAGGCTTAGTGGGGGTTTAAGGAAACAGAAAGAGACATACAAAAGGAAATGGAAGCACTGACCCATAAATACTTTGTAGTGTATACAAGGCAAAAGTAAACTAGCTGAATAAGGGGCTCTGTCTAGGAAAGAAACAGTCAAACAGATGAGCTCTGAGCCCGTTTTCATGTCTAAAGGGATGAAAGAGAGGCCATTTGGCCAGATTAAGAAAAGCTGAAAAGTTTTTCCCAAAAAACCCACATTGTTTTCAGGACACCACCTAGACAACAAGCAGTTGAATGATGACATGTGGCTAAACACGTGCAATAAGTGGATCAATTGTTTGCATTTATGTGAGTTTAAGGAGAATAACAACTTCATACATATTAGATATTAACAATTTATTTGCTTGAGTGCTTAAACACCTCAAAATATATTTTGTTTGAATACAAATATTGAATTTGTTGGTCAAGATAAATCACATATGTTGTTAGTGACGCCTCTTTCATCTGGATCTTTAAATGCCAAGGAGATAACCTTCAAATTGTAAGGTGCCTTTCTTTGTGTTAAGTGCAAATTAATCACATACAAAAGAGGCAACCAGTCCCTTTCACACCTTTTCTTGTGAAGCGCATCTTGTTGAGGGAAGAAAATCCATTGTGGATAAGACAGTAAGATGAATAAAACTAGCAAGGTAGTGCACTTTGAAAAATAAAGAATATGGTAACAAGACTCTTTTAAAGTATTTGTCATTCCTAGTTTGGATGGCTGGTCAAAAAAGAAAGGATTGCATTTTCTGAATGTTTTAAAGTAAATAATTGGTGTCCAGGATTTGGAGATTTAATTCTTCTCTACTGAGAGTGTTTAACCAAGGACACTGTAATTAGGAGTCTTATCTCTCATTCATAAATTGGTAATAAGAGGATCTTTCTGGTCACACTGCTTGTATGTTTTTTAAAAGGATCAACATCAGGTTTAAACAAATTAGCTTTAATCTTAATGCATACCTGAATCACGGAGAGAAAATATCTTCAAAAAATCTGTGTGAACACAGAGATGGTACATTGCAAGGGATCCCCATTTGCAATGTTGTTTGTTCAGACACAGCTGCAATATTAATGGCACAAAATTACAGAAGAGATGAGGGAAATCTGATTGAATTACTCAGCTTCAGGTGCAAAAATCCTCTGCTAAACTGAAGAGTGGAACTGAAGTCATTCCCTGCAGTGAAGCAGCAGATGAACTGATTGAAAGTGAAAGAGGTACCGAGCTGAGTGTATTATTTGCAGTCAGGTTTTACCACAGCGCAAATTCATACCACAATCACAATATGAAGGATTGCAGAGGAAACCCTGGCTGTGGGTGTTCTGAAGCCCATCCAACATTGCCTGCACATAACCTACTCTTTTACAAGAACAAATCTGGATAGACTGAATTTTTATTGTGGAAATACCCAAGAATTTTGTATGTAGTCTACAGAAAAATGTATTGCCAAGGAAATTTGAATATTATGCACCGTGTAACAATGAGATTTCCATGCAAATTACATTTACCCAGCAGCTTCCCCTTCAAGCATTTAATCACTTTTGAAAGCATACCACAAGAAATGCTTGCATGTTAAGAGTACTTTAAGCAATGCCATTGTAAAACTGTATTCAGTAAGATTAAAATGGCAGCATATAGATGTAAAAATACAATCTCAAATACATAAAAATACATAATGCTTCTAAAACATGTATATGTACATATTTTAAAGGAAAAATCTGGTCATATTCAGAATTTAAACTTCTGAAAATACTTAAAGTATGAAACTATTACATACTGTTAAATACATTTTTTTTTTTATTAAGAGTAATTTCATTTGAATGTGCTTTACCTGAGACATCCATGTTTGTTAGAACACTACCGCCACCTACTGGTTTGTGACGTCACGGTGCGGTATCGGCTGTTGATCAAGTCCCAGTGCTGTTTCTGGTATTTGCGCAATGTGCTGTTATCCAAGTCATCTTAAAAACATTCTTCTTCCAAATATTGGCTACATATTACGTGTTTTTTCTCTGGCTAGAAGTTCACTGGCAAATCCTTCCTCTTCAAGTAGGCAATCCAACGATGAACCTGTCCTTGGAGGATCACGAATCGGAAAGGTGAAATGACTAATCTTTTTCACT